CAACTATCTCCCTCTATCTTACTCTCTCTCTTTCTATCTCTCTGACTCTCTTTCTTGGCATCTGTTATGAAGCCGCCTTGTGTCTGCCTGCTGCGCCTCATGCTCGTTAATTTTGCAGCATTTCCGCTAGCAATTTGGTGGCAGCTTCGCCGTTGTCGCCATCATCGTCGTCGGCTTGTGGAAATATTACGTATACGCGGTGGAAAAAGCGCCAACCGGAAATGCAGGAAGCGGATATTACACGCTCCAGAAAACACACAGCATAGCGCCCCGCCCGGCAGTCGAATAATATGCACACAGATATGACTTTTGACGACAGGCGCCACGGCTGAGCACAGCTTCGAGTGGGCTGCCTAAGGGTGTGCGACGCGATGCAAAGCAATTGCGACATTTTCCTTATTGCTGGCGTTGTTGTTGCCGTTGCAGCTGCTGCGCTTTATGCATGTCTCGTATTTGGACAGCTGGTCAATGTGAAAACTATTAACTTCTTGCCATCTTCTGCTAAACAGGGCTTGATGTATACTTGATGTTGATATTCACATTAAGTATACGCCCCCATAGGCTGTGCCGCAGTTTTCTTATGCTTTTTTGTATAAGCTTATGATTATATAAGTCGTTTTTTATCTATACCTTTATCTATATCATGTTTTGACTATGTATATCTATATCCTGTACAGGGTATCTGCCTGTCGACTACGTCTGCTCATTGCATTCACTGCTGGGGAGGCTGCTAACTTGAGCGTCTCGCTGCCGTCCTTTAAATGCCACATGAACTGGCTAGGTGCAAAACGGGGCGTATACTTGGTGTCACTGCTTATGTTACGTATACGCCATGATGATAAGCCAAAATTGAAATGATTAAGAAATGTTTATATCCAACTCTGGCTATATACAAGAGTGTATTTATATGCATTCAGAACTAAAGCCTTGTACAGGGCATCTGTTGGCCGACTACGCTGGCGCACATCTCGTCCTTCGAGTGAAATTGGAGCGCACTTAATGGGCGTTGGGCTGTGGGCGTTGGGGCATTGGGGCGTGGCAGTTAAATTGCTTGGCCGATTGCATTGCTAGCAGTTGTTGCAATCAACAACTGATCAAAGACGACAAATGCAAACATTTACCTACCTTTGAGCTGAAAGCGAAAGGAAAATTAAATGAAAACTCAATGCGCGCTGGCGCCATGATTCGTGTAAGATTTCTTTGTTTTCTTTATTGAACATAATAATTTGTTGTTTGTTGTTGTTGTTGGTTTTTAATGCTTGCTCACTTGCTTGTTAAATGTTTGTTTTGCTTTGCCTTAATTTAAATTTAATTTATTTAATTTTACTCGTTAAGGTTTGTCTCTTTAATTTTATGCGGCTTTTTGACCTTTCTTCAATTACTTCTTCCGCCTCTCTCGTTTCTGGCTTGCGTTTAGTTTAGAATCGTAGCGTATATCCATATGCATAAATTTATAATTATTTATTATTTTATTTCTATGTCTGATTCGTTATCAATCTTAGCGCATTTGCAAAAAAAAACACATTTTAGCCAGAATAATGAACATTAATTTGTAGCTTTAGCTCCTCACATATGCATACATATGCGAGCTGTTTGGCTGTGTGTGTGTGTGTGATTGTAGGTGTGTCGGTGTGTGTGCATTTCATTTTTAATTGCTAATTAACATTATTGACAATATATATATATATATATATATATATATATATATATATATATATATTAAGTACAATATTTTTAATTTAATTTGCAATTATTTTTTTTAGGCTTTTAAGCAACATTTTTGCTGCAATTAAAAGCGTCATCAAGTGATCTGTGTGTGTGTGTGTGTTAATGCGTGTGTATTAAGCTTAGCATTTTTTTTATATTTATATTTTATATCCAATTTTTGCGTTTTATTACTATTAAAAATGTATTTATTTTTCAGCTTGTGTGTGTGTGTGAATTATTTAAATATCGAAATAAAATAATTTGCTCGTGCATGAATAAATGCTTAAATATAAATATATTTTTTAAAGTTGCGTTTTTTCTTGCTCCTCTTCATCTTCTTCTTCTTCTTCTTCCTTTTTTTCTTCATATAAATTTAAAATTGTCAGCCATTTTGTTGTTTAATAAAAACATGTATGTATTTAAATTTATTATTATTGTAATTATTTAATTATTTTTAATTCATTTTTGTTTCTTTCGCAATTTATTTATTATTTTTCTACGATTTTTAATGCTGTATGCCATGCTCTGTATATATAGAAATTCATATATATATATATATATGATTTGATTTTTGCTTAACTCTATAAAAACTGCTTTAATTAAAAATTGTTTTTGCTTTTACTTCTGCTTCTTCTTCTGCTGCATCGTCTTCTTTTAAGTATTTATTCCTTTGCCGCTGCTGTTTTTTGTTAATATTTTTATAGCTAGACTTTATCGTATTAAAAAAAAATATTCATATATATATATATTTGTCTCATATCGTAGTTTTGTTTGCATCTTTTTCTGTGTATTTTAATTTCAAGTTAAATTTAATTTATGTAAACTCTGCGCTGCATCAATCTTTAGCTTGAATCAATTAATTTTGCATATTTTGGCTTAGTTACTTTTTCTTTGTTTTTGTTTATGTTTTTAGGCTTCTTGTGTAATCGAACGTAATTTTTTTATTTTAAAATTAAGTACACAGATTATTAGTTTTTAAGCTTCCAGTTTATGTACAACATTTATGTCACTAATAGTATTTATATATTTATCCTTTGCAGCTCGCTGAGAACTCAAATTGGGATTTTTATTTGTTAATCAATTGCATTTTGTATTTATTTAAGAGCTGGATTATCTCCTCAAATTATGTACATAAATATTTATGTGCCGAAACAAAAAAGGAACACAAATCGAAACAATGTTCCAGAAATTTGCATAAATATTTGATGGAAATGCTTTTAGAAGTCAAAGGAATTGCAACAACTAATTAACATAAATTACACACACACGCACACGCACACACACACACACACACACACACATGCACACTCTTAATTAAATAAAAACAGTCAAAAATACGTTTCGTTAAATTGCAATTATATATTAATTAATTAGCATAATTAAATCGCATTATGTTCGTTAAATGTTTCGCAAGCATTTCGAGCTGCATTAAAGTTCCACTTTAAGTACATAAAATTTTGGATGGATGCATTAGTCAGTTGATAAGTGTAAGAATATCTCAAAAAAAAAAAAAAAACATTTTATAATTGAATTTGAATTAAAAATATATTTTTTTATTTATTTTTTTTGTAATATTTTAATTATTATATTTGTTTAGATTTTATTATTATTATTTTTTTTACTACACAACACAACAAACATCTAGAATTTCGTGGGCTTATCATTTGGTTAGCGTTCTCATAAGTTTTTTTTGTCGACTTTTTCAATTTAGTTTTTAATATTTTTTTTGGCTTTATTATTTTTTTGTTTTGTTTTTGTTTTATGCTTTGATTGTGGCCTTTTCGAGCGTGCAGGTAGGGGCTACAAGGGGGCAGAGGTTGGCGGAGGGCGGGGCCATTATTACAACCGAATGTTCATTTAGCTGTCTACACAGAGCTCTCTCTTGTATTTGTCATATCATATATACGTTTCTATATGTATATGTATATGTATATGTATATGTATATGCATATGTATGTATATGTGTATGTGTAGGTGTGTAACTAGATGTATGTACAAATCTAAATTTCATTTCTTTTCACTTCTCCTCCTTTTTTAAGTGCAAATGTCAACTTGGATGGATTTTTGCTTTTATTATTTTGGGAGAGGTAAACTATATATCTTTGCATCATAACTAATATGGAATAAAGAAGACAAAGGTAACAAGAATCAAGTATTAATATGCGCAGCAACAGCCGGAAATCCCTCTACCTCTCTCTTTCTTTGTGTGTGTGGCCTATAGCTCATTGCGGACTCGATTTCCAGCTGCGCTGCGTGTCTTGCAGACAACCATAAGCATTTCATATACATATTGATGCATGTATGTATAGATGCACAATAAAAGCTAATCAGGAATTATATATATGTATATATAAGTTGGACGTATGTGTTAAAGGTTTCAAGGAAGGTTAAGGTTCGTTTTTAAGCAAACAAAATGTGTAGCTTGCTTGGACGCAATAAACAGTGTTGTAAAGTGGCAAAAGGAGAAAGAAACAATTTCAATAATATTTGCCAAGGGTGTCTGGGTATGTGTGTGGGTGTGTGTGTTGAATGTGCTGTGCTACGTGGCGTATGCGTAATCTTTCTTTCGGCCAGCGTTGCTAAGTTGCGTATGCAATATTTATTTTGTTAAGTATTCATAATTAGCTTTTAGCAGTGTTGATAAATGTTTAGTTGTTTAGCTTGAGTTTATCATTTTGAGTTAGTTTAAATCTTGAACTAGTTGAGTTTTGTTTTTGTTTTTGTTTCATTTTATTATTAAAATATCGCGAACTTCATGCGCGCTGCTCGCTGCTGGCTTCGCATCTATTGCCCAGGCATTCGGCATCATCTCTTGTGACTCTGTTGTGACGTCACTAGCTCAAGCTAGTTGGCTCAAGCATTGCATGCATGTATGTACATACATATATATATATATATATATATATGTATATATGTATATATGTATAATTATTTAAAAAATTGGCTTCTCTCTTTTTCGTCTGTTAGCAGTTCGCTAATGCTGTTCGCTTCTCGCTTCGTGCTTCTCGCTTTTATCTCTTTCATACATTTGGCCACTTGGTTTCGTTTCTTTGTTTTCATGTTTCTTCTTTTGTTTCACTTCACCTCGTCACGTCTCGTTTCGTTTCGTTTCGTTTCGTTTTATTTTCAATTTCGAAGCGTTCCTCTTGCTTTGATTTTGTGTTTATTTATTTTTGTGAGAACTTTTGCTACATTATTATTATTATTTTTATTATTTTTTTATTTGTATTATTTATTTATTATTATTATTATTTAAATTTATTTCAGAGAGTTAATTTTTTTTAGTTTTTCTTAACTGCTAATTGCGTTTTATAAACACTAACTTGTCATTTAGATTTACTTTGTTTTCATAGAGTTTTCCATACTTATTAAAACTACTCAACTTAAGCCGATTGCTTGTTGTGTTTTCTCAATAATTTGCTTTGTATTTGTTTCACGTTCGCCGTTCGCTTGTGTCATTGCTGTAACTTAGTCAACTAGACGCCGTATAACTAGTAAAAAAATGTGTTTTGACTGTGACTGGCACACCAACGTACTAGTAATATATATATGCTATACGTTAAGTAATACTAGACAAAAAAAAATATATAGTTTCGTTTGCTTACTAGCCTAGAATTGTAAATGTCTATCGATCGAAAACCGAAACTCAAAATACAAACAAACAAACAAATACTCGTATCTCTGCACCTAAATACATCGTTGCGCTCTCTGCAGCCATTGCAATTGCACTTGCCTGCCCAAGCTGGCTGCGTTTCTCTTTCTCCTTTTGATTCAGCTGTTCGTGCCGCGTCGTGCCGTGCCGTTCGCCTCTCGCTCGCGCTCTGCGGCTTAGTAGCGCTGCTGGTACTCATGGTGCCAGCGATTGAAGTCAATGTGGAACACAATGATCGAACCAGTTGACAAGCCAGCGAGCAAATACCTGTCGAGAAGAGAGAGCGAGGGAGTGAAGAGAGAAAGAAAGGGAGAGAGAAAGACAGAGCACATGGAGATTGTTAAGTGGTAATTCAATAGCCCCTAGTCCCGACCCAAAGTACTTACTTCTGATCGTGAGTGAGAGCCAGCGAGCGTATGCCCGCATTGCAGGCGGGGAAGGCATAGAGCGGCGCCAGATTGAAAGTGCGCCACACCTCGACAATGCCGCGATCTCCGGCAGTCATCAGATACTCGCCATCGCGCGAGAGCAGCATGCACTGCAAAACCAGAGAGAGAGAGAGAGAGGGAGGGAGAAAAAGAGGGAGAGAGTGCGAAATCAAGCAGCTGTAAATAGAGTCTCGACTCGCTTGCGACCTACCTGCAGATTGTCGTTGTGTGTCTCGTGGCGCAGCTTCTTGCCATTGATGGTGTAGGCCGCGACATTGCCTTTGTCATAGTTGATGACTATGAAGCCCTCGCGCGACATGGTTATCAGCTCCGGCGAGTGGAAGTCGACGGGCGGATCCAGCGAGCGCAGCAAGTCACCGAAAGTTGTATGTATCAAGACAGGGCCGTCTAGCAAGAGCAGGAGAGAGAAAGAGAATCGAGGGAAAGAGTGGGATAATGTGCGTTAGCTTGTGTTTAGTTTTGGCAGCGTACTGAACTTACTCGTTGAACCCGACACAACTAGTCCGAGCTCTGCGCTGATGACTACCGAGGTGACAGCCTGCTCGTGACCCGTCAGAGTGGCACGTGGCGTGGGCACGTCTCCCTCGCCGACGATGCTCTGGGTGCGGGCATTCCAGTGCCAGAGCAGCACCGTGCAATCCGCTGAACCGGAAGCTATGTAGCAATCCGAGGTAATGTTGCACTCGCTGCGAGCCATGCACGTGACGACGCCGAAGTGCCCAAAGACGATTTGCACGATTTTCGCTAAGGATACAAAATGCACATAGAACAGTGTAAGGATAGGGTCCTACGGAAGGAGCGAGTGAGCGAGAGAGAACACTCACCTGTCTCTGTGGCAAACACACGAAAACTGTTGTCCCAGAAGCCGCAGGCAATGAGAAAGCGACTGTCCACGGTGGTCACAAAGCAATTGGAACGAATCTTAAGCATTTGGCTAAAGTTATCGCCCAAATGACGACGGCTCACCGCATGGCTGTTGTTGTTGGTGCCATGCACAGCTGCAAAGAAGCACCCAGAGAGAGGGAGAGGGAGAGGCAGAGGAGGAACCGATAGAGTCGAGGTGGGCAAGTACAGTTAGCACAGGTGGACTTACCCAGCACTGGATCAATGGTTAGCGGCTGATTGGAGCCAGGCGACTGCGGCGATTCAGCATAGCTTGGACTCTGGACGGATGCGGTGTAGTTGCAGTTCCAGCGATTCACCGCAAACTGATGGCCAGCGGTCACCGTGACGACGGATGGCAGCGATAGCTGCGGATACGTGTTGGCCGAGATGTGTATGATGGGCGAATTTTGATAGAACTTGAGCATCTGGCACAGATCCTCGGGCATGGCACTGAACATCATGGGCGATAGATGCATGGCCGAGCTGCGCGGTGGATGCGGCTCCATTAGCAGCTGGCTGGGCGTTTGGCCAAAGTTGCGTATTTGATTTTCGACTGCCTCGCGCATCACCGGATCGAGCACACCATCGAGATCGACGCTGCCCTCGTAGGTGAGATAGTAGAACACGTTGGTGGCCCGGATCGCCTCTGGTCCGCGCTGCTTGTAGCCGAATATCAGATCGATCCACTGATGCAGCTGGCAGGAGACGAACTCCGATTCGAGAGCCATGCGATTGATGCGCACAAACTCCTCGGGGGTCTTGGCCCAAGGGGGTAGCTCGATGTCATCCACCAGGGCGCCATCCTCGCGATGTCCCAGCCTGTAGCCGGACGCATTGTAGAACATCTCCGGCAGGAAATACCATTCGGGTATCAGCTCCTTGACATCGGACGTGTCGCGCTGGCAGTTCTTCCAGCTTAGGGAAACGGACGAAAACAGTCGATCCGGATAATCGAATTTGCCACCCTGCAGCGCCAGGAACATGGACGTGAATGGCTCCACACGCACCAGCCAGTTGAGAGTGAAGGCGGCGGTCGAGTAGTGGGTGCCGTAGTGGAATGGCGGAATCGTATCGCTGTCCCAGCTCTCGTAGCGCTCCTCAAAGTAGGCGCGGCGCGATGGATTTAGTGCGCCAATCGGCTTCGACAGATCACGATAGTTGGAGGGCAGGCTAAGGTCCAGGTCCTTCGAATCGTAATTGGTTAGCACCCAGGGAAAGATCGGATACTGGTTCAGATCGTTGTATGTGCGGCCGGCGATCGTGTTGAGGAACATCAAGTACTCAAAGTTGGAGATTTCGCGTCGCTGCCATTTCTGGGTCATGTTCGAGTTTCGCATCAGTTGGCGGGGCGACATCATCGAGGCTCGCCGAGTCTGCGGTATGCCATACTTGATGCCGACGCCCACGCGTGGCAGCGCCTTGATCACCTTCTTGACGGTATGCTGATCGGGAAAGGCGAACAGAATGGAGGTGCGGCTGGCCAAAAAGATCTCCAGCGCCACGTTCTGCAGCAGATAGCGACGCGAGAAAATGGCTCGCACCTCGGAAAAGTACCATTTGCCGTGGAGATGGTCACAGTACTTGAGCACCTCGGCATCGATCTTATGAAACTCTGGATGATCCTCGTCCACCTCGAAGAACATCTCGGTGCTGGTAATCGAAACAGTGCCGGGCGCCACCAGTCCCGGCGCTATCAGACGCGCCTTGGTGCTGATATTGACGGGTCCGGTCAGATCCAGATCGAGTTCGCGATCCTCAATGAGCAGCTCGGCATCGTCCAACAGCTCGCTGTTGTGCTGGGACGACGGATGCGCCCGGGACACCGCAATCTGCGTGTGGAACTCGTCGCGTGTCTGCAAGATGGCATCCTCCGGTGCACCGTTCTCCAGTGCCGCCTTTAGCGTGGCCTGCGGATGCGAAGAGCCACGCGGATTCTGCACCATGCGCTTGCGACGACGAGCATCATCCTCCCAGGCGTCCAGCTTCCAGTAGGTGGCCTTCGCCAGCGGGCCAACGGTCGCTGTTAGCGAGCTGGTAATGGAGCCAATGCCATTGGCATCGCCCCAGGCGCCATGGCGATTGCACATGATGTTGCGCACCTTCTCCAATAGTCGGCTGGCGATGACGTTGTCTCGACGGCGTGCGGCTGTGATCAGGTGATCGCACATGCGCTCCTCCTCGCGCCGCTCCAGCAGCGTCTGGGCGCACTGCGACTCAAAGTCGGCGTGCTTCAGCACATCGTCGGCGCGCATGCGATTCAGTATGAACTCAGCCTCGTTGGCCACGCGCACAATGTGATCCTTCATGGCATGGGAGAGCAGGCGGCCCTCGTTGATTAGCTCAATGAAGGCGAGGCCGGCATGCTTCTGCAAGCTGTTTTGCCACTCCTGCGAGCAGAGCAGCATGACCAGCTCCACAACGGAATGGGAGTTCTTGAAGGTGGTTAGACCCTTGCCCTCCATCAGCAGCTCCTGGCCGTGCGATCCGACCAGCGTCTTGGAGAGGAAGGGCGCAAAGTCCACCATTATTTCGCGCAGCAGCGGACACACAGGACCCAGAGCTATCTCCAGCTTCTGCGTGAGGCTTGCCTCCCGCGACGGCGTCGTCAGCGGCAGCTGGGCAACCAGCGCCGGCGGCTTCATGGGCAGCTCATCGGGTCGCGTGCGCTGCTGCTGCTGCTGCTGCTGCTGTGTGCCGGGCACGGTGTTCGCATTGCCGGCACCGCCAGCGGCCACGCCTGCACCACCCACACCATAACCATCCGGCACACGCACCACCGATATCTCCGAATCGGGCTTATCCCCACGCTCACTGCCCACGCCCATGCCCAGACGGGAAACTCCCTGTTGCTGCTGCTGCTGCTGCTGTTGCTGCTGCTGCTGCTGATGCTGCTCATGCTTGGCACTGTCGCTGGCATCCACGAGGCCGACAACGAGTCCTGCACTGGCTGCCGCCTGCACAGCTGCGTCCTCATTCAGATTGACATCCGTCCAGCTCTCGTCGTTCGAGTTGTTCGGCTTGTGATCGTCGGCCAAAATGTCGCTGGACGACTCCACCTCGGGCACCTCGTTTTCTGTCGAGTTCATGTTCAGCGACACCACATCCGAGTCCACGCTCTAAACGGTTCAAGGATTAGATAAGCATAACAAACAAACATATACATGTACATATATATATATATTAAGCAGAGGGGAAAGCCAGGGCTTAAGCGTTTGTGCTCAGGTGGGTGAGGAGTTCAGTGGACGGGTTAGAGTGGTGCGAGTTGAGTGTGACTGGTGCTAGTGGCCTGACTAGCGCTGCAAAGCTAATTTATAGTGCTTGGTGCTGCTATCGATAGTCGATAAATGTGCATATACAACTCGATTAGTGATCGATATATTAATAAGCGATGACTGTCTGAAGCAGTAGTCGAAGTTAGTCTATGGTCTACATTTTAATGATTTCGATAGTCGATAGGTTTCGATAATCGATTGCTAAGCAGCGTGAAGCATCGATAGATTATCGGTTATCGATAGCTATCGGTTATTATAGCTGTGCAGCACTAGACTTTAGTTCAATGTTTATGAGTGTGTGTGCGCGTGTGTGTGTGTGTCTGTCTGTCTGTCTGTCTGTCTGTCTGTCTGTCTGTCTGTCTGTCTGTCTGTCTGTCTGTCTGTCTGTGTGTGTGCGTTTTGATATCATTTGCACATTAATTATGCACCCCGAACAATAAATCAAAGCTCCAGTGCGCAAAGTAAAGCTCAGCCGCCGCCCAAATCCTGTTGACCAGCCACGTCCTCTCCACGTTCTTGTCAACACATGCATTTGTCAACGCCACGCACGAAACGCTATCTACAGATCTATATAGGAGCCTGCCCCATCCACCTCCCTCCATGCAGCCCCTGTCTGGCCGTGATTTGCATAAAAGGCAATCCAAAGCTCTCCCTCCCCCCTCCAGCTCTCTCTTGCGCTCACGCTTAAACAAATTTTGCTATTACGTAACTCAGCTCATCCGAAAAGCATTAGCCGAAACGGACATAACGGACAGACGGCTATGGGGAGTGGCCGGAGCAAGGACTCAGCAGGCAGGTTATGGAACGGTTAGCCATATGACAGAATTTGTTAAAGCGTTTGACAAATGTCAACTGTCAAGCACAAATGCAGAGCAGAAATGGGTATAGTAGGTGTTAACACAGCTGTTTCCATGTGTGTGTGTGTGTGCGAGTGCGTGTGTGTGGCAGCTGTTGCGCCTACGCAATATGCTGCACATCCCCTTGAACGTTTGTGCAGCAACTAAAATCCATCGCCTTTTGTTTGGCTGGAATTTCACTTGTGGCCAAAAATTGAATACACAAAACACACACACAGCATCAAGTGTGTGTGTGTGTGTGTGTGTGAGCTACATGATTAACTGTTCGTGTGTGTGTGGAGTATAGCAAGAGCTTGCTACGCGAGCAGAGCAGGATTTGCTATATTAATAATGCAAGCAGTTCATTAAGAACCCAAAACCGGAAGACGGCACGTCGTGACTGCCGCACAATGAAAGTGGCTCAGTGTGTGTGTGTGTGCGTGTGTGTGTGTGCGTGCGTGTGCTCTTATTCTAGTTTGTAACACTAATTGCATACCATATACATTGACATTAACATACATAAATCACAAGAAACATACAAACAAATCCATGAGACACACAGCAAATCACGTGGCGCACGCAGCCAAATCAAACTTGAGTGTTCTGCCTGTGTGCGAGGGTGTGTGTGTGTGTGTGTGCGAGTGCGAGTGCGAGTGTGTGTGTGCGTGGAATGCGTGTAGGCGCGGACTTCCGCTGAGATTGCCTAATGATTTATTGATTGCATTTAATTGCAATTCAATTTGTATTCCCTTTTCTTTTTGCCAAATCAAACAAAGCTCAACGAAAACAAGCAACAAAAAAATAAGCAAAAAAAAGGGGTATGCGCGACCTACAAATGCCCTGTACAACAAGTTGTAGCTAAGCAGACTTCACAGAGGTTTCACAGAGCACTTAGCAGCAGATCAAATGATTTCATGGAGTCATAAGGGTAAGGGCTAAGCGGAAGAATCATTGCGGGAATGAATAACAGCAGCTGGAATGACTGGCAGACAGACAGGTAGACGGACAGGTAGACAGACAGTCGGAAGGACAGTCCGCATAGCGGACATAGTCCGCTCAAAAATTCGTATACTTTGTAGCTCTCAACATAGTTATTTTGCTTAATATGATTGACTACACGCTCGACATACTTTAGAGCTTCAAGTTTCTCCCTGCAAGCCAGGCAAATCTTCAGCTAATTAGATCACTTAAAGACAGTGTCGGAATCTGCATCGCCTTAAAGTTAATTTGTCGAGCTTATCTCGTGCAGCATGGGCATAGGCGATTAGTTGTGTGGTCAGCCGTAAGTCTGACAGATAAGTTGCATTTGAAATGTTCCACCTGACAGAGCGCATTGAGGGCAGAATGTTGCATTGTGTTGGTTAATTGATTGCATGATTCAGTGACGCATTGGCCCAGTGCTGCAATATTGATTGCGTTAATGCGCACGGCTCAGCTCGGCTCAGTTAGTCAATGCCGTTGTCGTTGTCGTTGTCGTTGTCGTTGCATTTGCCGTTGCATTTGCCGTTGCAATTATGCAATGTCACATTTGGTTAGGCCACAAAAGTAAAGAAATTAAATCACAAATTGACAAACAAACGAGAGCAGTTACAGAGAGAGAGGGAGGGGGAGTGGGTGTGGGAGTGTGTGGGAAAACAATATGAAAAATCGATTTAAAAACTGTGGAAAACATGTTTCATCCACACTGAACTGAACAAAAGCAACAAAGTTGTGCGATATGCCAATGCCAACAAAAGTAAAATAAATTTCACATGATTTGTGTGCTCTGTGTGCTGCTGGCCTGTGGGCGTGGTCTGTGCACTAATTAACGCACGAAATGTCAATAAACGTTATGAACTCCTCAATTATATATGAATATATATATATATATATATATATATATATATATCTTGCATACGAGCTGCATTCCATAATAGCCTTGCAGAGAGCTTTAATCATTCAATTATTTGCTGAGCAATTGACACATTCATGAATATATGAATTGAAGCCAAATTTGATCTGCATTTAAATATTGATTAGGCAAGCAAATTTCCATTAAGTGCTTCTCGCTTCTCTCTCTCTCTCTCTCTCTCTCTCTCCCTCTCCCTCTCTGATTGAATTGCATTCACTTCGTGCTTCCCGCTTTATTTAATTTGTCGTTTTTGCATTTTGGTGTGGAGCTGTTTGCTTTGCTGGAGAAGCCATTCGTCTACTGCTTTGCGTGCTATGCTTCTCCCTTCTCTGTGATTTCTATACTTATTTTGGCATTATTCATGCTTCTTTCTTTACCTAACTTGTGGCTTCTTTCCTTCATCTCTCTGCTTTATCTAGCCTTTCTTTATTCTGCATTCTCAGTTTGCTTAGCTATTGTTTAAGCTTCTTCCTTTATCTAACTTGTTGCTTCTTTCCTGTAACTCTCTGCTTTACCTAGCCTTCCTTTGTTCTGCACTACGCTTCTCTCTTCTCAGTTTGCTTAGCTATTAAAGCTTCTTCCTTTACCTAAATTGTTGCTTCCTTTCTTTTTATCTCTGCTTTAACATGCTTTAGGTTATTCTTCACTACGCTTCTCTCTTCTTAACTTACTTTGTTATTATTAATGCTTCTCCTTTTGCTTTTCTTGTTGCTTCTCTACGTAATGGAATGTCTTGTTGCTGGTTGCTTCTTTCCTTCGGCTTAGTTTTTAGTTCAGTTTCCCTTACCTAAGCTTCTCTCTTCTCAACTCAAATTAAAGCCTATAACTATACCTAATTTGTAGCTTCTTTCCTTAATGGAACGGCTTATCGACTGCTTTGCTGTACACTTAACGTCGCACGTCGCTTCCCTTGGATTTGCCTACTTCTTTTGCTTTGACGGCAAGTAGCTTGTTGGCTCTTTGCTCTGTCCAGTTCTAAGAAGCACCTTGGCTTGCACTTAACTACGCTTCTCGCTTCACTACGTTTTTCACTTCACAGCTAATTATGTTTACTGCTCTCTCTGTCTCTCTCTCTCTAGCTTCTAGCTGGTTTGCTTCAATGCATTTGTTTGTTGCCTCAGCCTGAGTTATGATTTAATACTTTTGTTGCTTGCTGCTGTTGTGCGCGCTTCTCTTTATGCCCCAATAGCCGCTGGGATCAGCTGTAACTTATTGTTTTGCTTATCCCTTAACAACTTTTCGCAACTAGCCACTTAATTGAGCTGCTTCGTTCGGCTTCAGTAAACTCTAAGAGGTAATTGCTTTTCGCTTATATCAAATTTCCAACTACAAATTTTCCTCGCTTTTCTTTTTTTTCCCTACTTTTCTTCTCTCTGACCGATGAAAGCTCATTGCTTGTTTCTGCAAGGGTATTTGGAGTTTGGCATGCCGAATTCACATTTTGGTATTTTTGGTATTTTTTTGGTATTTTTGGTATTTTTTTAAAATTTACTTTGAGTGCAACAAGATGTGATTGACAGCGGTACGAATGTGGTTGTTTGTACGTATATGTGTGTGTGTAAGTGTGTGTGTGTGTGTGTGTGTGAGGTGAGTTGACTTCAATTGTTGTTGTTGTTGTTGTCAAATTGTTGCAAATTGATAGTTGCAGTATTTTTTTTGGTTTGGTTTTACTTTTACCTTTGGCAATTTCTGTGGAACCATTGGCTTGGGAGGTGACAATGGTTGTTGTTGAATTTTAATTGAATCTTTAGTTGATTTTACAGTTGTTGTTGTTGTTGTTGTTGTTGCGGTTGTTGTCTTAGTGTTGTTGTTGTTGTTGTTCTTGTTGTTGTTGTTGTTGTTATTATTATTATGAGCCTGTGACATTTTGTTTTGATTGATTTGCATCGTTTTAGTGTTTTGATTTGATAAGAAAAACATGCAAATGAATTGGCTTCACAGCTTCTTCTTCTGCTTTTTCATCGTTTTTGTTCATTGAACTTAATACTAAGCTAAACATACACTCAGCCACACACACACGCATCTCTTTCTCAGCTACAAACTGTGAGAGCAGAGTTTTCATTCATCTAAAGTGACGTTGCGAAACTGTCTTCATGCAAAGTGAGCTGGAATCGAACTGAGCTTGTCGCCCCATCACTCACACACTCACACACTCACACACACACACACACACCTTGAGCCATAGAGCACTACTCACCTTTATGGACGGCGGGCCACTCGAGTGGGAATCGTTATCAGCGAGCACCGACGGATTGTTCTCATCGACGACGATGATCTCGTAGTCGCTGTCCTGAATCTGACGACCGCCTGCACCGGAAGAGAGACGAGATCACATTAAATCGATGAGTACAGACATGTTTACATACATATCAAAGTATACATATATAAATAGAATCTAGATAGAAAGCAAATTCATATATTCATTACGTTTGATTAGGCACGAAAAGAAAACCAAAAGTGTTTAAGCAATTCATATAGTTCTCTAACAGTTACATCAATGGCTCTGTGACGAGTAGACAAAACTAAATAAAAAGAAGTACAAAAATATCTGCTAAATACGTTAAGCTATAATATATGTTGTATATAGATAAGGGGAGAGTAGTTGAACTGGAGGCAAGAAGAGAGCTTCGCTACTTCTTGGGGTCAGTCACAAGTCCCGATTCTAAACAGACCTGCGGGTGTTGCCACTGTCAAGTGCTGACAGGTAAGCAGCAGCATGTTAAAATAGCTGTCAAAGCTGCGATATTTGATAACAAGATGTTAAAAGTATCTGCCAGGCCTGACAGCCGATGTAAGTGAGATGAGAGTATCGATTCTTCAGGTCAGCATAGTTTATGATCCTTAACAAATATCGATTCCAATTAGATTTTTATACAAAGCAAGTGGCAGCACCTGCTGGTGTTGCCACATATGCGAAAACAGACTCAACCAATTGTCAAGTGCTGACAGGCAGTTGAATGCAAACAGCAGCACGTTAAAGTAGCTATCAAAACTGCCTGTCAGCAGACAGTTTAGACATATTTTTATGACATCATCGAAGGTCTTAACGAATGAGCAACTTAATCTGTTGGGCTAAAGGCCAAAGCCATTCAAAGTGCCTGAAAAACTTGACAATTTATTATGGTACTTGAGAGGCAGAGGCAGGGAGAGAGAGAGGGAGAAAGCAATGTTCTAGTTGCCTGACACTTTTGAGGTGTGGAAATTGTTTGAGTTTTGCATTAATTAGTCAAATGGCTTTGACTGCATGTAGTTGATGTTCAAGAGCTCAAATTTGCATACCTAAGCACACACACACACACACACACACAGGCAGACAGACACACATGGGCAACTGCAAGGACACAAGCTGACCAAAATGAGAAACGAACACAGAGAGAGGGCGGCAGCGGGAGAGATTGCATAGCTTAATAGTTAGCAACTGCTTTCAACAGCATTTGCTACTGTTTTTTTATGGCAGCTAAAGTGCTGGAAACTAATCTGCTAGCTCAATCTCTGCCTCCCCCTGCCTCCCCTTCTCTCTCATATCTTCTGCATTGTGCACGCAGCTGCCGCAGCTGCTGTTTTGGCTGGTCATTTGAATTCCTAATTCACATTGCTGCCTGCTGCCCCTCTGCCACGCCTCTAGACCAAACTTTGTTGGTTAGTAATTTTGATATTTGTAAGGTTTTATGAGTGCTATAGCTATAGCTGGGGCTTAAGCCTTTTGTTCGACCATTGAATTGCAGCAGCCGCAGCAGCAGCAGCAGCAGCAGTTGCTGCTCGAATCTGTCTCATGGACACACATAATGCAATCTGGATAGACAAAACGTATTTGCAGGTGGGGCCTTTAGCCGGCTCATTAGCGAATTGCCTGGACTGTGGTCAGCGCTGGCCAACACTGCTTTTCAGTGTTGCTTAATGTCTTAATTGAAATTTATGTCCGGCGCTGTTAAGTATGCTACACTTTTTTGCTGCCTCTCGCCTCACGCTCGTCTGCTTAATTTGTAATAATTTCCCAGTGTGGCGATTTTTCACACACACACACACACACACACACACACATATAGAGTTGGAGAGAATTATGTGCTGGCCACAAATTACTTTTGTTTCAACATTGTAAACGTGTTATCGGCTGCTGCAACTGCTGCTGCCCGCTCCTTATCCCTCTCCCTCTCCCTCTCTCTGGCTATCGCTGCTCTCTGTCCCTCGCTCTCCCTGTCTCTTTCTCAGTCACATAATTTATATTCGTGCTCGGCTTTGCCTGCCTTTATTTTTTTGCGACTAATTTACATTTTTGTCGCTGCCATTAAAAAATTTTCTCTCTCTGTGTGTGTGTGTCCAGGCAGCAATAAAAAACAAGAGAACGAAAAGGGAATGAAGAGGAGGGGAGCAAGAGGAAGCGCAAAGTGCACGCGTGCCGCCTGTCGTTCGCCACTTTTTATGGCCCAATATTTCACGTCCGTCTACGAAAATAATAAATGCTGCAAATACCTTTAATTCATTTTTATGCTATGGAAAATTATCGAATTAGACGCAACTTTGCCAGCGTCTAGCGACGCGCTCTGCCCTGTGCACAAAATGAAGATAAATGAAATGAAAATTGTGCTGACAGCACAGGAAAATGACGAGCAACAGCCGCTGGGCAGCTCCCTCTGCCCGCGCTGCCGCTCCTCTAAAATCCCATCGTCAACAGGACTCGGTGTCAAAAATATGGCTGTCATTGTGGCTGCACTGCATGTCTGTGTGTGTGTGCCCTGTGTGTGTGCCCTGTGTGTGTCTGCTATCTCTAGTAACAAAGATAGATTGCACTTTTTAAAAGCATAAATGGATAACATTTCGCAGCATGACCTCACACAACAACACACACACACACACACACACACATATGCGTGTCTTTGTCGTTGTCAACTGGAAATTAGCAATCGTCGCTTTTCATATCAAAAACATAAATCGAATCAACATTTTGGCCAAGAAATAACTTAAACAAAGCCAATCAAATTTAGCTTTCAATTAAATAATTGACTTTCGTAGCAATATAATTGCATAAGCGGCATTAAAATCACATAAAATTGTTTTACAATAAATACACACACACATATGCGTGTGTGTGTAAAAGTAAATTGTGCATTGTGCAGCCAAATGTCAAAAAATTCAATGAGATTTATTCAAAACTATAAAATGATGCCTCGAAGCTCTAATCGAGCTAACCAAACGGAAACACTGTGCAACAAAATTTGGTATTCAGTTCAGCAGCGACAGCAGTAAAAGCTGCACAAACTCATGTAAATATATGTAGATAAATATATATATATATATATATATAATTTGAGGTATATATATATATTTATAACCCCGCTACAATCGTTAAATAATGAAATCAAATTAAAAAATAAAATGTTTTTCTATTCTAAAATAATTCTATTCGAATATTTGTATTCATAAATTTGATTTATGTGTGCAACGGGACTTTGAAGAGGTCCCAGTTGGAAACTATGTACCAAAATGTAATGGGAATTATTTACGTAGTTCAATTGGAATCATAATATTCATCTAGCGTATCTAGGGCATTGAAGCAGACCTGTTTATTTGGATAGATTTGAACTGCAGTTAGAACTTATAAATAACTTATATATTATGAGTCCTATCAACTATAACTTCCTCATAGGAACCAGATGTCCAATCAGAATCAACCATGTTATACAACATTTCTTCGCTTATGCTATTAGACATTTTTGTTTACAATTAAATTCAATTTAAAATGTATTTGTCAAATACAAAATCCATTCAGATTGATTATGTCGAGAGAAGACAACTCCAACTAGAAATTATCTTAATACAATCAGCATATTAATTCCAATCAGAAACATGTTTGCATTTTATTGGTTACAAATAGCTATGCCATGTCCAACTAGATCTAGATGCAATCAGAATAATTCCAATCATCAAGCATATCTTTGGCATTCAAAGAGTTATGTTCATTTCGACAGATGCCGACTCCCACTAGAACTTCTCTATGTATAGAGCTGTCTGTTAAGCATAAGAATTGCTTTCGCCAAGCATTGAGCAGGCAGGAAGCTAGTTTGAGGTCATCATTTGGCCCGCTGCGATATGTGTTTGCAGTGAATGGACGCTTGGGTCGGAGTGAATGACTTCCGCACAAAGGGAGCGGGTGGAGGAAACTAAGAGGATTGTTATTATTATAGAATGCTGCATTAGTGAGGCATTTGGCCGCTTCGATCGATTAAATAATTCAATTCAATTCACTTTGGGGCTCGAAACAGAAAAAATGAAGCGAACAGAGAAACTAATTCAAGCAGATGGCAGAGCACTTGTTCGTTCGCAATTCAAATCGAATTAAATGAGCGCAAAATGGCATACAATAAATGCAAATTAAATTCCATTTTTAAACTCAATTGAAATACTAAAAATCCGATAAAAATGCAATCGAAATTAAATTAAAATTAGGCTTAAAATAAACGAGAGACGACAAAAAAAAAAAGCGAACGAGCGAGAGGGGGAGAGAGAGACGAGAGTGCGTGTAATTATGCCAATTTACACTGAGAGACAATTGCGGGCAATTGTTTAATATAGATGCAGGACTGTGATACACACACACACACAGACTGAGTCACACCTATATACACACACACTCACACGCAAAAGTTTTTGCATTAAAAGCAAAGTTCGATTCAAAGATATAAACATCGAAAGAGCGAGCGAGAAACAGGGTATGTGACAGAGATAGAGAGAGAGAGAGGAAGGGAGGGAGAGAGAGAAGATCGATGAGTATATATCTATATATATATATATATATATATATATATGTATATATGACAAATCTAGTTTATAGAAGCTACAGCTAAAGCTAGACATTGATAGGCAAATGGTATGAAATGAGGGTAAAAGCAACGCAACGCAACGCAACGGAACGCAACGGAATGAAAACAAAATGGAATGAAACGCAACTGAACGAAACGGTAAAGAAACAGTGAACAACAAATTACTTAAGTGTGTTACAAACAAAAAAAACAACAAGGAAACTAAGAAAGAGAGAGAGAGAAATATATATATATATATAGATAGATAGAGAGAGAGAGAGAGAGAGAGAGATAGATACAGAGAATAACTAATTACACAAGTATAGATATATATATATATACATATTAACAGAGAGAGAGAGAGAGAGAGACAGTGATAGATTAAGTTTAAATAGTTAGTTAGAGCGTGAATTAGACTACATACTACGACACTCATAACGAGCGATACCTGTTCCGGTGCCAGCTACGTTTGCGTTGCGTCCATTGTAGCGATAATTGTTATTGATGGCATTCGATTTGTATGCAGCAACGCCGCCGCTGACGCTGCCATCGCTCAATCCCATGCCGCTCATGTTCATGCCCACGCCCACTCCGACGCCCATGCCCATGCTCATGTTCATACCCATACCCATACCCATGCCCATGCCCATGCCCATGCCCATGTTGCCGCCAGCGGCAGCAGCAGTAGCAGCAGCAGCTGTTGCTGCTCCACCATTGCGCAAATTATTGCGCAAATTGTTGCTGTTGTTGCTGTTGTTGCTGATGTTGCTGCTGTTGATGTTGATGTTGATGTTGATGTTGCTGTTGATGTTGTTGTTGTTGTTATTATTGCCGTTGCTGCTGCCGTTACTGTTGCTGTTGCTGCTGCTGCTGCTGTTGATATTGCCGTTGCCATTGCCGCTGGCATGCCCATTGAGCAGCGCTCCACCAACACCAACTGCATGCTGATGAAGCTCCACAGCGCCCAGGCCATTCTGCTGCTGCTGCTGCTGCTGGTGCTGTTGCTGCTGCTCTCCATTCAGCTGAATGCCACGCATATAGGCATGTGGATGCGCATGATACCCACCGCCCAGAGTGGTGCCATTCTCCACTTGACCACCATAATGGTTGTGCTTGCCATTAAGCAGCTGCTGCTGCTGTTGCTGCTGCTGCTGCTGCTGCTGCTGCTGCTGGTGGCCATTGATCAGCGCATAGTGCGGCTGATGGGCATGAAAATGTTGCTGCTGCTTGTGCAGCTGCTGGCGATGCAATGTTGCTGCGGCTGGCACCTGTTGCTGGCTCTGCGATGCCAGCGAGGACAGCGACGAGCTGGACGCTGGCTGCGACGTGGCCGTCGAACTGGCCGACGAGCTGGTTGAGTGTGTGCCGCCCAGCGGAGGCGGCGGTGATATATTGCCCAGCTGTTGCTGCTGCTGCTGCTGCTGTTGCTGTTGCTGATGCTGATAGTAGGCAGCGGTCATATGATGATGGCTGTGATTGTGGGGCTGATGTTGCTGGTGTTGATAATAGTGCTGCTGCTGCTGTTGTTGCTGCTGCTGTTGCTGCTGCTGCTGTTGCTGTTGTATTGAGACGTTGCTCACATGATTTTGATGCGACTCGGGCAGAAATTGCGGATAGACGTGGTGCGACCATTGCGGGAACAAGGGACGCGCGCTGGCGGCTTCTATAATGTTGTCGTTGACAGGGTTGGCAGGGTTGGGTTATCATACATATATATGCACAAATGTATATATATACACATATACATACATACACACACACACAGAGAGAGCAAAATGGGTTGCGTTGGATTGTTGGTGGGAGCGTGGGGAAGTTTTGTTTGTTTGTTTTTTTTTATTGATTTTTGTGACGTGGCGAGCATTTTTGTTACGTTTAATTTGGTATTAGATTACATAAGTATTTTTTTTTTTGTTTTGGTATATTTTTGGTAGTTTATTTTTGTACAATAAATCCGAAAAAGCAGCGTGAAATGAAATTTTTAGAGAACGGAACAATGAAAATAACCACAAAAAGAACTGAAGAATATCTCCAACAATGGACTTGATGAGTGTACTTAAAGCTAATGATTAGGTGGTACGTATTCAGAGTGGGGCGGTTGCTTGGTGGGTCAAGTTTGTCGAGGACGTGCGCACACACTCACGCACACGCACACACACACGCACACACACGCACGCACGCACACACGCTTATAGACTGCTTGCATTGGAATGATACTAACATGTGGTGGTGGTGGTAGCGGTGCTGGTGGTGGTGGTGGTGGTGGTGTTGCTGGTGTTGGTGCCTGCCGTTACTGGCGCGGCAGTGGTGCTCTTTAAAGATTGCTAGTGGCCAGTGGCAGTGAGTAACTTCTACCATTAACATATGTAAAGACTCGACTCAACAAAATGTTAAAGCAAAAAGTATAAACAAATAACAAAAGGAGATAATCAAATGGAACGCAGAAATGAAACAAAAAATAAGCAAATCTTATTTGACAGAACAGAGAGAGAGAGAGAAGGAGTCAGACAGAGAGAGAGAGAGAGAAAGAGAGTCGGAGAGAGAAACATTTATACATAGCTAGAGACCGAAAGAGTTAGACAGAAAAGAGAACCAATAAACGAATGTTTAGCTTTTGGTGCAGCAAACGTAAGGTGAAACGAAATGAAATGAAATGAAACTGAAACTGAAACTGAAATAGAAATAGAAACCGAAATAGAAACGCAGACACAGACAAAGGACAAAGCGACAAACGCAAATTAAGAAATGCAAATTAAACGCATGAGAAATGCGAAACGAATCGAACACAAAATGGAAAACTCGAAACTGGAAACTTAATAAAGAAACCCCCCGAGGATAAGAGTAGACGAGAGTATATCATATATCAACTTAAGCTAGTTGTAAGTCGTGGCAAATGCCGTTAGGTACGAGAGTAGTTCGCATTATTCATGGGCCTAGATCGAGAGCTCTTAACGTTTAACACTTACCGCTGCCCGCGCTGCGCTGCAGCACCGGGGATTGACGTTGAATTTGGGGCTCTGCGGGTGGCTCCAAAATGTCCCGATATTTGGATACCATCAGCACCGAGATAAAGTAGACGATGGCCAGCGATAGGAATTGCGCTTGTTTCGTTTCCTCCTATGGACAAGAGATGTAGAAAAGAGAAAGAGAGAGATAGCAGATCATGTGTGAGTTACAAGTGGAAATGAAACATCTGGGAATTGAGTTGAAATTGAAATAATGGAACAACTTTAAATGAAACAATCGGTAATGGAACGGCTGAGAACTACAATCAAATGAATAAGTCTATACCTAGACTGGAACAATTTGGAATGAAACAACTGGGAATGAAATGGAATGAATCTAGGACTGAATGGATCGTTAGGAGTTAGATCTAAGTGATCAAATAATTTTTGCAAATTAATATGCTTGACTGAAACAACTGGGAATGAAACAATTGTCAACGGAACGGATGAATATGGAACAATTGTGAATGGAATTAAGAGACTATAAGAGAGAATTGTATGGAAATTAGAAATTTAACTAGAACAGCTCGGAGTGAAACAACTGGAATTGAAACGGGTGAGTAAGAAACAGCTTGTAATGAAATATCTGGCAAAAGACAATAAACAGTTAAACGACTATCTACTGATTGCAACAAATTGGAATGATACAAATGGAAGTGGAACGACTGGAATTGAATTAACGAGCCTTACCACATCGCGATAGATGACGGCCCGCAGGCGATTGACGTCCATGTCCTGGAGCAGCTTCTCAGGATCCTTGACGGGCGATAATTGACCGGTGATTGACTCCACAATGTTCTGCAAGTATTGTAAGGAGAAAACAGTGTTGTAAAGCGTTAGAGGAGAAACCGTGCTCAGCTTACCTTCGGCGAGGCTTGAGCGCCGCGTATGAGCGCCTGCAGATGCGCCGCGCCGGGCACATCGCGTGCCAGGGCGCCCACATTGTAGCGTGTGCGCTCCTTGCACTCGAGGCAGTTGCGCACGGCACAGGTGCAGACGAGGCGCAGGCACTGGCGCAAGATGCCGCCGCTGGACATGTTCTTCTCGGCCTCCAGTTCGCCGAAGTTCAGCGAGGTGGCAAAGATCAGGACATCGGCCATGTTGACCAGACGCTGCAAAAAGGACACAGCCACCTCCAGCGGCATGCCCTGTGTCGGCTCCAGCACATCCAGCTCGGACTGAAAAAATGCCGTGCGTTAGCTCGAAGATTGGCGGCTGCATTAAGCCTGTGCACTTACATTGGGGGATGTGGCGCTGGCGAGCAGCGGCAAAAGTCCGCCGCAGGCAATGATCAGATTGTCGGCCAGCTGGGATATCAGATGCACCGTGTTGACCACAAAGATTGCATTCTCGCTGGAGTTGACAAAGTCGAGGACACTCTTGGTGGAATGACTGCGCCACACTTGGATGTCTGTCTCCAGGGAGAAGAGGACATCGCTCAACAGTCGCTGATGTATGTAGGACCATTTGAACTCCGGTATGCGGAACGGCGGACGGGTCGGTCCCGGACTGAACATGGGACGAGTTGAGCCGGACTTGGAGCGCTGCTGTTTGCCCCCCTCGACGCCGCCTGTGGCGCCCGCAACTGTAAGGTGCAAAACACATTCGATCTGCTCTGGCTGGATCAGGCAACTCTTTAACTTACCATAATGATGGCCCTCCATGTGGACCGCACCTTCTGCGTTGACAGCAGACGAGGCTGCTGCCGGCTGCGATTGCTGTACGGCGTAGTCGTCGTCGTCGGCGTTGGTTGTATCCTGTGCATCGTCGTCGATATCGGCATCAGCATCGACGTCGGCATCGGCATCGACATCGGCATCGGCTTCGGGCAGCTCGTCGAGGCCCTTGTGTGCATCCGCCTCGATCTTTGGCGTTGTTTGCGTTGTGGAGTCCACCTCGTTGGGCTTCGTGCGCAACGCAATCGGAGCAGCCTCCTCGGACTTGGCCAGCGGCTCAACGTGCGCTGGCTGCTCTTCGGGCGTTGGTGAGGTTTGTGTGGTCTGCTCAGAGGCCACAGCCTTGACGGTCTCATCCACTAGAGTGTCTAGAACGGCATTGACAATGGCTGGCACTTGGTCCTCCACTGATTCCTGGGGCTGAGCTTGTGCCTCGGCCAGATCGAGTGCCGCTTCGACCACCTCGTGGACTATCTCCTCTGCGGCGGCGGCAACGCTTGCCTGTTCCTGTTCGGCATCCTTTTCAATATCTGGCTCGATGGCTGTCTCCGTCTCTGTTGCCGGCTCGGGCTCTGCCTCTGCCAGCTTTGTGGCTGCCTTTTGAACTTCATTGTTGTTGGTTTCAGTTACGGTTTCGGATTCGGTTTCAGTTTCGGCTGCGGCTGCGGCTTTGGTCTCCGCCTCGGCTGCATCGATTACCTTGTCGATGAGCTGCTCAACAATGTCGCGCACCGCTGTGGCCACCATATCCTCTGTCGTCTCATCCAGCTCGGGCTCTGCGGTCACTGCAATCACATTTGTTGTGGACTCCGTGAGCTCGTCGCTGCTCGGCGTTGAGCTCAGCTCCTGCTCGCCACTCGCTGCTGCTGCAGCTGCTGCTGCTGGCATCTGGCTGGAGCTGGAGCTAGAGCTCGGGCTGGAGCTGTTGCTGAGCTCCAGTTTCTCGTTGTTGTTCAGCTTGTTGGCCGCATCTTCAGTCTTTTGATTGGTGTTTGCTGCTGCTGCTGCTGAGGCTGTGTTAGACTCCTGTTCCTGATCTGCACCCTCTGGGCTGTCTCTCTTCTCCAGCTGCGTTGTGGTTGCTGCTGTTGACTCCTCGCTGTTGATCTCGTTAGCATTCACTTCGGCCTCCGGCGCTTTGTTCGCCTTCTGCTGCAGCTCCTCTGACTCGCTGGTAGTGTTGATGTTGTTGTTGTTGTTGTTGTTGAGCAGATTCTTGCTGTTGAGCAGACTGACATTGTCCTGTGCTGGCGTCTTCTTCTCGCTCTTGAGCACGCCCTGCACCACCTCGTTGACGGCCAGCTCGATCTCCTCGTCCTTTAGCACGGACGAGGACTCGTGCAGGACATCGTCTACGACCATTTTGCAGTCATTCAATGCTGCCTCCGACGCCTGCAGCACCTGAGCCACATGCTGCTCCACGTCGAGCGCATCCTTGGCTGTCGCCAGCTCCAGTTCGTCCAGGTCCTCGCCAATTTGCAGCGTCTCCTTGAGCGCTGCCTGGCCACCAACTGGTGTCTGCTGCTCGGCGAGCTGCGGTTTCTCCTCCGACGGACTGGGACGGAGGCTGCCATTGCAAGTGGCCGCCGGAGCGCTTTGCAGCGCTTCGTCCGTTTTGATTTGCTCATTGTAGACATCTGAAATGTTGGCAATCACCGATTTGTTGACCGGCTCCTGCTGCTCTTGCGACTTGGCTTGATCCGTGTCGGCTGGCTGCCCGTTGGTAGTGCAGATGCAGGAGTCGGTCGGGGTCGGGGCGACATCTTCGCTCAGCTGCAGCTCCTGTGCCTCCACATCGACACTCTCCAGCTCCAGCTCCTCTGCCTCCTCCTCGACGGGTGGCACATCCTCCAGCGAGGCCACGGACACTGCGCTCTTTATGGCCGGCAGCTGTTGCTGCTGTTGCTGCTGCTGTTGCTGCTGCTGCTGCTGCTGCTGAGGTGCAATCGGGCCGTTCTGCTGCTGTTGCAGCTCCTCGCGCTCCCAGCCGCTGATGGTGCTGATGGGGCGGGCTTGACGAAGGGCGGGATCGGTGATGTTGTCGGTGCGCTGTCGCTCATAGTGCTCGTACATCTGGGCAAACTGCAGCTTGAACTCCTCATAAGAGACCTTCGAGTGGACAATGGCCAAAGTGTCCACCCAGACGCGCCAGCCGCCGTACTCATGCTTGATGGCATGGTGCAGCAGCATGCGGAAGAGCGAGTAGACCATGTCGCTGATCTTCTGCTCCTCGGTGTTCTTCGGATGGATGTAGGCCATGGCAATGAGCCACTCCTGCCAGACGGACATCTGGAGTACAGTGCGACGATTCTCGCGATTGCTATTGCACAGCAGAGTCATGTCCTGCAGAAAGAGCTTCTTCACCTCGATCAGGGACTCGGTCTGCTTCGACTGGCGTATCAGTGTGGCGACCACCTTCAGTATCACTGTGCGGCAATGGATTGGGTTGGGTTTTGGAATGGATTAGGTTTCTCTCTACCAGCTGAAATAGGAGCTTAGGCTATGGCGTTAACTCACTTGGGTTTTCCAGACGGTAATGGCCCTCTGGCTCCGGATGGCGCGTGTACAATATCTGCTGTGAGATGTGCTCGGTCATAATTTCGAAGAGCACATTGTATGTGGGCAGCGACAATGACTCCTCGTACAACAGCAGACGCTCCGCTAATAACGTGTACAAATTGTGCGGCGACATGACATCGTACTTACGTCTACACCAGCGCGGGTTTAACAAAATTTTCGAAGGGGAATAGAAACCAGACACATGCAAAAATTTATGAGCATGTGCATTACACGGCAGTTTGTCAAATGGAGTAGCAGCACGAGCTAGGCCCACGCCTACACTCGCCTGGAAACCCATTACTCACGGCCCGTGGCTGGGCCCAGCCACTACCCACTACCCCCTACCCACTACCCACCCGTTAACCACAATTACCCCGTCCATTGTGCTACTTACTTGTGTGTGCTGCGCGAGAGGAAGAAGCCGAGCAGCTTTAGTGCCTGGAGGCGTATCAATTGACTTTCGGCGGCCAACAGCTTGAAGATGCTGCGCACGCCGTGCTTTACATCGAATGCAGGTACCATTGAGCTCGGGTGCTCCGACATCAACGAGATGAGCATCTGCAGTACATCGTGCAGATTCTCGTCCTGCGGAAAAGAGAAGAGCACATTTAATTAGCAGCCAGCTCTAGTCCATGCTACTTAAGGCTAAAAAGGTTTTCCCAGTGCATCTTGGAGCTTGGCTCACTCACCTCATGCATGGTGGTCAGATAGTTGAGTATGCTTTGCAATTCATCCTCCTTGACGCCATTGCCGATCATAATGAGCTGCTTGAGGAACAGCAGGATATAGGCGCGTATAGCCAAGATGTCCTTCTGAGCCGGTCGCGGACCATCTGCAATAGTTGAATGCGTCAGAATCCGAGGTCGCCAGTTGTTCGCTCGGCTGTGGCACTCACCCAAGCCCTTTGGTATGATGCCGCTCTTGGCACGCGGATTGACAACCCAATAGTAATACTTCAGTGTATGCACTGTCTGCAGGACGGTGCTGACGCGCCGCACGTTGCTGTAGATCTGAGTATCGCTGAGGAACTCGGTGGCCAGGTACGAATAGAGGCGTGCCTGTACATTGGCTGGCGTATAGATCCACAGCGCCGGATTGAAGAGCACGTGATCGAGCAGCTGCCACGTGAGAAACGAGAAACAGAACAACTGCGCCAAATTAGTCAAGTAACTTATGCTGTCCTCAGTTACCAGAGACTCAACAAGGATTCAATTGCAAAAGATTGAAGATGTGGTGTGTGAGTGTGAGAGAGTGTACATTCGATAGTAAGTTAGTTAAGTTGATTAAATAGTTATGTTAGTTAGTTACAGAGAGAGAGAGAGAGAGTTAGATAGAGAGTGAGAGAGAGAGAGGTAGAGTAGCGCAAGAACAAATGAAATTTTTTTGTTTGGTTTTTTGTATACATACGTTTACATGAGTTTCATGTTGATTGTTGTTGTAGTCGATTGATTTGGATAGGGTTGTTATATATATACACATATATAAATTATATTTATATGTATATATATGTTTGGAGGTTTGGTAGTAGTAGTAGTAGTAGTAGGATTCGATATATAGATACATATATATTGAATAACGGTTACACATGCAGCAAACAGCAATCAAATTTTTATCAACGTTTGTCATAAAACATAAAACGAGAAATTAACAAACAAAGTAATAAACAGTTAATATTTGAATGGCATTCCAAAAGAACAAGAACGAGAACTAAACTAAGCTTAATTAGGTCTAATTACGCTAGGAATTCAAAGTATTTATATACATATAAATGATCTTATGCCGCTAGAGTTTTGATTATGTTACGGCTATTGGCTATATCGAGAGAAAATATGCATAAAAATGTTGATTTATTGGATTAACACTTAAAATACATAAAATTAGTTACGTAATGCGCTTTATGTCGTCGAGGAAAGTCTTGGCTCTGTTTACATATGATGATTTGTGTCGCTTCAATGAAGTTCTGAGTCCGCGAGTCTCTTGCCACTTCAGAGACCCCAACTGATCAACCGCATTTCTAATTCCTCATTCAACTAATTCAATTTATACGTTCATCCAGCTTTTTTGCCAATTAGTATAATTAAACCTATGCGAACAGTTACATTATAAGATTCTATGGCGCCTAATTGAATTTATTTAAATCGCTTCGAATTGAAAAAGTCGCAGTTGTTTAAATATTCGACAACTGCGGCAACTTTTCGGAAACATTGGCCGAAATTTTAATTGTCAAAAATACATACATATGTACATATGTATATATATGTATATTTATGTGTGCGTGTGTGTCGTGGGGGGATATGTTCATACATGACTTGGCTTATGAGGGCCAGCAGCACTTCAATTCAATTCGGACCACTCCATGAAGTGTTCAAACTTTTTGGCGAGGCGCTCTGCTGCTCCCGCCGGTGGCTTCTGGCGTTGCCAACGGCTGCAGCAAACATAACAATGCAACGCCCAATGTGAATGTGGCGCTGGCCCCCACCCCCCGACGACCCCCCTGCACACACGCCAGCTACCGACAGAAGTTTCCCAATTAAAAACTGTGCACGAGTGTGAAATAATAAGGAAGCACACAGCACGGGGGCACGCCGAAAGCTGAAAACCCCCAAAACAACAGATTCAGCAATATGCAAAAAACATTTCATGGCGAGAAGTGGAAAGGCTAAAAAAGGAAACTTTAGTTGCGCCTGGCGAATTTACACTGATTTTTCCCGACCACGCACACATATATCTATATATTTATAAATATATATGTATATATGTTTATATGTATATATTTATATAAATATTTATACTTAACACAAAGAATGCATTTGTATATAAGTTGGGAACGCGTTGAACAAAATGAGCTTAAGTTGGACAAAGGTGTTAAGTCACCCGCCAATTAAGCAAATTATAAAAAAGCCACGTGAGAAAACATGAATGAAATATGAAATGAAATAAGAATGTCGAAAACATAAAAAACACATTTATGAATCAATCGCGATCAGTCGTTCGACCTGTAAAGACGTGAATTCGAACAGCCTTCGCTTAAGCTCTACTGCTGCAGAGTTCTAAAAATAGAACTTTGCGGTGCATTCTTCAACGCAACAGCAACAAAAACCGCACACGCAGCGTTTTCTTATCGCTTGCTTCCGCGTAACTCAATTGCTTTAATTGCAATTTACGAAATTTCGTCGCTTGGCGCGAGTGCGCCTGCACTCAAAAGCACAATCCGCGATGACATCTAATGTCAATAACCTCGCTACAGCTGTAAAGGTAAATGCAGAAATGCAAGCCCAGCTTAACGTTGTGATGGCAAATAGGCAAGCCTCCATCATGCCAATAAACTCAAAAATAGATATCGCCTCCGTGCAAGGCATCACTAACAACAAAAACACGAAACGTAAACAGCCAAATTCACCAAAAACCATCAAGAAAAGGCTCATCTTCGACGAACCAAGCACCAGCAATGCAGCATTAATATCAGAAAATCGATTTTCACTGCTCGTAGAAGAAGATGAAGACTACAGCGAATCACCTGTAGCTCCAGAAGCCCCAGTATTGACCGACCAGCAAACTACTCCGAAACCTCGTCCGCCCCCCATATGGTGTCCAAACATCAAGTCTGTGGCCCTACTTCAACAGATAATAGATAAAGTAATTGATGCTAAATCATACGTAATTAAGCCAAAGAAGAATAACATAGGTGTATTAACCCAATGCAGTGAGGACTATCGCAGAGTTATAGACCACTTTACTAAGCTGGAATTGGAGTTCCACTGCTACCAGCTTAAGGAGGACAAACCATATAGAGTCGTGTTCAAAGGGCTTCACTCCAGCACTGATACAACACTAATTAAAAAGGAATTGGAAACCAAAGGCCACACAATTACAAATGTGCACAACCCACTGAGCCGTATGGACAAAACACCGCTAAATATATTTTTTGTTGACGTGGCTCAGGCCCCCAACAACAAAGAAATTTTGGACATTCGAGTTGTCTGCAGGCAACGCTGCACAGTGGAACTGCCAAGAAGATACAACGACCTGACACAATGCCATCGCTGTCAAGAATTTGGACACACACAACGCTACTGCCACAAAGCTCCCAGATGTGTGCGTTGCGCCGGGAAACACGCATCCAAAGACTGCACCCGCGAAAAGGACCAGGCACCAACTTGTGTGCACTGTGAGTTACAGCACCCAGCCAACTATAAGGGCTGCCAAGTATACAAGCGGTTGCGCAAATTGCAATCCCCAGCACAAAAAAGGAGTCCCACACAAACACCGTCTACGGGTCCGAGTACTGCTTCCGAAATTACAAGGCCCCGGAGCATTACCCAAGCCACGAGCTTTGCAACGCCTATTAGTGGTGTTTCTTACGCACAGGCCGCTAGAGGTGGACCGTCAAATAAGAATACCACAAGTGACACTTTGTTCACTGAAATGCTTCAGCAACAACAACGTCAGTTTGACGCAATTAATGCCGAGCTCAAAGCGATGCGAGAAGTACAATCCCAACAAGCAACCATGCTAAACAGTTTAATGGCCATCATAACCAAGCTTGCCTACAAATAATGGCTTTACGTGTGGGTATCTGGAACGCCAATGGCCTGAGAAACAAGACTCAGGAACTGGCTGCGTTTCTCTCACAAGAAAACATAGATATAATGTTAATAACAGAAACTCATGAGTGCCCCACTACACAAATTTTCGGATACGAACACTATCAGGCTCATGGTGAAGGAGCAAACTGCTTTGGTGGATCCTCAATCCTCATACGAGCAACAATACCGCATACACCTTTACTGCCAATTTGCAACGCAACAATGCAGGTCTCAGCCATCACCCTGCCTACGTCTATTGGAGCGATCGAAGTTGCGTCAATTTATCTTCCGCCAAACACTGGTCTGTGTGATCATCACATGGAACAGGTTCTAGGCCAAAGGTTGAATAAGACCCTCATCGGCGGCGACTGGAATGGATGGCACCCATTTTGGGGAAGCAATAGTGCGAATCGTCGCGGAGAAGTCATATTTGAGGCGATTCAAAACTTACAATTCAGCATATTGGCGACTGGAGCCCCCACCCGTTACCCAATTAATGGACACAGGCCCTCGGCAATCGACTTCGCTGTCTACAAAGGCATCTGTGACCGGCAATTGACCATTGAAGAATCCTTGGACCTATCCTCTGACCACCTGCCACTAATAGTCACAATCCACGCGCAGCCACAGCCCTTGCCCATTAGGAAACAACTACTGCCAGCAGGATCAGATTTAGGAGTCTTTAGGCGCGAGCTCCATTACTCTTTGCACATAGAAATGGAACTTAACACTCCTGAAGACGTGGACTACGCAGCAAACAAACTGCAGGAAGAAATAGTCAAAGCTGCGCACCAAGCCGCCCCACCATCTTGCCAAACAAGACAACAGTCTCCGTACAACATCCCCCTCACCTTGGAGGCCCAACACCTACTAATACACAAAAGATGGGCCAGGAGACGCTGGTTAAGATTACGCACGCCTGATGCCAAATCCATGTACAACGAAGCCACGAGGCATCTTAAAGCTGCTCTCGCCCTGCTTCAAAAGAGGTGTATCAGCGATGCGCTGGTACGAGCTGAATCGCCCACTGACGCAGAGTTTCAATTATGGAAATTTACAAGAAAGCTCAAACGGCAGCCAATACGACGTCATCCCATTCGGAGCATTTCTGGTTCCTGGCACATTGGAGACGAAGCTCAAGCTGAGGCTTTTGCAAACCACCTTCAAGACCAATTCACGCCGGTGATTACCGCAGAGGCCTCAGAAATCGAAGCAACAGAAGACATCGTTCTCTCGCCCCTCCCAGCTGAAGACCAGATAACTGGATGTACAAAAGAAGAGGTTCTTGAACACATCAGAAGAGTGAAGGCAAAAAAATCCCCTGGATATGATCTAATAAACGGCAGAGTCCTTAGAGCACTGCCTGACTCCACCATAGACTACATAACTATGGTGTACAACGCCATGCTCCGCATCCGGCACTTTCCAGCCTGCTGGAAGCGCGCCGTGATTGTGATGATTCCTAAGCCTGGCAAACCCGTGGGAGAAATTGAGTCGTACAGACCAATTAGCCTGTTGCCAGTACTCTCCAAAATATTCGAAAGAATATTTCTGGAACGAGTACTGACACATCTGGGACGCCAGGAGGCCATTCCAAACCATCAGTTTGGCTTCAGGAGACAGCATGGAACACCGGAACAGGTTCACAGAGTTGTGCACCATATCCTTGGAGCCTTTGAAGAAAAGATGTACTGCTCTGCCGTCTTTTTAGACATCAAACAGGCGTTTGATCGAGTTTGGCACCTGGGACTGCTGCAGAAAGTGAGGACCACCCTTCCAGCCCCATTTTTCGCGTTGCTATCCTCATACCTTATTGGAAGAACCTTCCAAGTGTCAAGGGGGCAAACAGTATCCTTGACTAGACCAATTATGGCTGGAGTACCACAGGGTAGTGTTCTAGGCCCAACACTTTATACTTTATTCACAGGAGATATGCCAACTCCCGAGCCAAATATAGGAAGTACAGATGCAGTACTCATAGCGACCTATGCAGATGACACCGCCATCTTATCACGTCACGTATCTGCGCAAGAAGCTTCAGACTCACTACAAAAATATCTGGACTCTTTCGGACGCTGGGCAAAACGGTGGTGTATCACCATTAATGCACAAAAGTCTGTACATACTACCTTCGCCACTAGAAGAGGAGATTGCCCAAGCGTTGCATTGGGGCCCACTATTCCCAAAGCCTCAAAAGTAAAGTACCTTGGTATCACTCTTGACAGAAGGCTGACTTTTAAAGCGCACATAAGTCAAGTAACCTCAAAATGCAAAAGCAAGCTAAAAACCCTCGACTGGATGCTGAGAGCTTCAAGCAAGTTGTCTTACAGCAGCAAGGCCGCCATCTACAAGGCAATAGTTGTCCCAACCTTCGTATATGGTATCTCTCTATGGGGCTCCTCGGCGAAGACTACAAGGAACAAAATTCAGACCCTGCAGAATAAAGCACTACGCAGATGGACTGGAGCCAGCTGGTTTGTAAGAAACTCAGTCTTACATAGGGATTTAGCAATTCCCACAGTTGCTGAACTCATTGGGCGACACAGTTCAAGATACGCGGACAGACTTGCAGCGCATCCTAACCATCTCGCAAGCAACCTGGCTATAAACAACAATAGGCGAAGACTGAAGAGATTGCATCCTCTAGACAATATTAGAACTAATTAAGATAGTAGCTACAAGTGCAGAATAATTGGCATATCTGCCCTCCCATTAGTTAAGGTTTAGAGCTAAATGCGCTATAGAGTCTAAGACAATAAGCTGCAACAAAATAAAGAAATAAATATATTGCCTAAAAAAAAAAAAAAAAAAAAAAATTTATGAATAGCGTGAAACAATGTGGGATGAAATGGCAATTGCTCTGTTTACTAGAAACAGCAACCACTTCAACCGAATGCTGAGCAAATGAGTACAATATACATTGAAGTGGAACGATGTGGAATGGAACATCGAATATGACTAATTTAACTAGATTAAGAATACCAAGACTGATGACCGTCAATCTATGATGGCTAATGAAGTGGAACGATATGGAATGGAACATTGAGCATGAGTAAGTCAGCTAGATTAGCAATACTAAAAATACAGCTACAAGATTGAAGACGGTCCATCAGTGATGCCTAATGATTTAATTACAATGAAGTTGAACGGTATGGAATGAAACATCGAGAATGAGTAAGTTAACTAGCTTATGAATAGTAAGTATAACAGCTATGCGATTTATCATGGGAAATTGATGATGCCAAATGATAAAATTACAATACAGTGGAACACTATGGAATGAAACAGCATGTATAAAACAACAATACAGATTGAAATATATCAAATAACATTTACCTAAAATGCTACCGACAGTAAATATATACATATATCATATTATAAAGTGGAACAATTTGAAATGAAACATCAATTGAGTCAACTGTACAAGGAATTAAACTCAACAATTTAGTATGAAAAACGTCGGGAAACGTAAACGAAACAAACGCACACATATACACACACACACACACACGTACGCACGCAGAAACGGAACAAAACGGAATAAAACGGAACGTAACGAAAAGGAACATTTATATAGTGTTTACAATACGAAAGTTCAGTAAAAGAAATTTGAGAATTGAGCTTCACCTGGTAGAACTGTTGTAGATATTTGATATTGGTTAAAAGTTCAGTTGTTGTTGTTGTTATTGTTATAGTTGTAGGTTGTTGTTGTTGTTGTTGTTTATTTGTGTGTTGATTGATAAGAAGCGTTTCAGATGCAACAATTTTGATTGATTGATCGATTGGTTGACAAGAACAGCATTAAAATAATATGAAGCATAATCAAAATGAGCGAGATTTCCCGATGGGAAGGGCGAAAGGACGGGCGCGGTTTGTGTACGTGAGTCAAAAATTCGTGTGCGGGAGGAAGAGATTAGAGAGAGATAGAGAGAGTGATATAAACAGAGAACAGGAACGTATAACGAGTTAGAGTGGGAGAGAAAGAGAGAGAGAGAGATATTGTGAGAGAGCAGACAAAGTAGAAGAATTTAGTTTTAGTTGTAAATACATTTATTTCAAAAGCTTGATCAATATTGGTTTTCATTTGTAATTTGATGTGTTTTTCTTTGCAGTAAGCTCTATATAATTCTGCGAATCAGCTGGGTATATTTCGATTAATCTTGGCTTGACTAGATAAAAGCATTAGCTCTTCGATTAACAGGTGCACACATAACAAAACTCAGTGCGAAAGCAGGGCAAAGGAAATTATTAAATATATTAAGTTGCCCATTCAAAGAAAAAGGAAGCGTTTGTACAGTGCTCAACAAAAAGCATGCAACAGTCAAAAAAAATAAGTAAATGAAAAGAAAACGTAATTGAAGAGCTTCGACTGAGCCGAAGGTGTGGGATCTGTGCCTGGAGTGGCGACAACTGAAGTAGCGAATGTTATTTTCCTAATTCAATTTATCTATAGATTTTCCTTTCGAGGCTTGTTTTCGACGCTTTAACTTGTTGGGAATCGCAAGCAATTGACTTGACTTCTGTTTGCTCTGGGTCAGCTTCTATCAAGTATTTTAATAGTAATTAATATTCCCAAACTAAATTAATTCAAATTCAGACAATATCGTTTATCTCCAAGCTTAGGCATTCAACTAAGATAAAAACTCGTTTTCCTCTCAATATTCAAATCAAAATTTAAGACTTATTTAGTGTAAGATTAGATTTTGGTATTCATTATTTTATTAAATTCGTTTTCTCAACTTTTCTTTGAAATCTAAGCTAAATCCTATTTCCAATGTGAACGACGAGCTTAGCCAAGAAACGGACTAGCGAGAAGGGAAACACATTCGAGTAGTTTTCAAGGCAGTTGCTACGCCATTTCTAGGTTTATCGTGTGCTAGGCAAATAAAGAGGAGAAGCGTTAATAATAAAAAGGATAAGCCCAAGCTGGATACATGTTGGGTATATAGACAAAAATATATATATACACACAGATATATACATATATATGTATTGGGTATATGGCAAAGGATTAGTGCTAGAAGCAAGGGGGCGGCGGGAGTGAAGCAGTTACGGGTAGTGGGTAGCGGGTTGCGAGTAGTAGGTAACGGGTAGCGGGTAGCGGGTAGCAAGTAACGAAAACAAGAACTTAATGCTGGAAAATTGTGTTGTATTTGATATGCTACATTTTGTGTTTACTTTTTTGAAAGGATTACGCAGGCCCGTGTTCAACTGTGCGCCGGAGCAGCAGAAGCAGCAGGCGCCAACATCAACACCAAAATAAAGAACACAAGAACAACAAGGCAAGACACGCATACACACACACACAGTGCGATAGGCCAGACAAAGAGAAAGAAAGAAACAAATAGAAAGAGAGAGAGAGAGAGAGAGAGAGAGAGAGAGTGAGTGAGAAAGCAGATGAGTCGCGAGCGAGTGGGTTTCGCATATCATTTGAAATATGTTTGTCAAGGTGTTAAGCATGCCACACAAAAGATGCGAGAACTGAACTGAACGTGTGAAAGTTATTTATTTTTATACTCTTATCTTCTGCTTCTTCTTCTTGTTTCTTATTTTATCGAAATTAAGTGGAATGCTTGTCCCAATGCGAAACATGAAACATGTGGGACGTTGATAGCTTTATAATAATAATTGCAAATCTGAGCGAGCTGTAACTGAAGAAAATTATAAAAACAAGTAGGAAACTTAGAGCGCGAGGCATTTGTCATGCAATCGTCATTACGCGAACTTAAATCGAACTTAGGAATAGACATATACATACGTATATATACATATATACACACATAATACATACATATATATATATATATACTAGAAGATAGTACATCATGAAGAGACATAGCTAAACGTATCAAATACAGAGTAATAACAATTTGTAAGCATGCTTGCCAAGTCACAGCGGCCCTCAAAGTTCAATCGCATGCTATCGATTAATCGTTGTAAAATGTTTATCGATGCTAAAGCGCGCGCATTTCAGATGCCGATAATACATTGTCTCTGTATGTATATATATGCATTATCGTGTTCTTATTTTTGTCAACATAGAGCGGTATATTGTTGATCTATAGACATAGGGCAAAGGACTTTGTATTGGGCCTTGCGCCCACTCACCTGCTTGAGCAGCAGATCGCTGTTGGCCGAGAGACACGTGACCAGATATTTGGTTAGATTGAGAAACGAGCCGAGTACCTCCAGAGTTAGGTGTTCGCGCGACGATCGCTGCAGCATAAAGGATATCACGAGGAAACCTCGATTCTGTATCATGTGCTGTTGCACAGTCTGCGATGTCTCCACCAGCTCGCAGATGAAGCCCAAAAGCTTTGAACTGTGAATCGGAATAAAAAGAATGGAGTTAAAATTGAATGCGTACAGATTTGGAACGAGTGGGAATGGAACAGAAACGAGTGGAATTGAAACATTAATGATATGAGAAACTGTTTGTTGTACTAAAACGAATAGTATTAAAATTTAAATATACTTTGAGGGAACTAAGCGAAAGACATAAGTGAAACAGATGAGAATGAAACATTATGTATTGAAAAAGCTAATTTATTAACTCAAATGAGAATGGAACGAAATACTAGTTCATAATCCAAATGGCAACACAATCCCAGCCAATATGAATAACAAGAAACAAGTGAGAATGGAACATAACCTACCAGAGCGTCGGATCCCGCTTGATATCGCTTATGCCCTCGTGCGCCATGTCCAGCTGAGAGAAGAGCGGAAACAGCACCTGAATGCCGCCAATCGAATTGAGTGTGCAGTGAATGGAATGCGTGACGACGGCCTTGACGTCCTGTTGGAGAGATGCGAAATCAAAGATATAATTAAAAGATATATACTATACTATATAATATAATGCTAGAATCCTTCCGCAGTCCCAGACCCACGGCAAACTCTTTCAAGTCGCTTTCATTCTATAAGTTTCTGTGCCGTTCACTTTCCATAGAAATGGCTAATCTTCTGGCGATTGCTTCGACGGAAATTGGATTGTCTATTGATAAACCATTTTTCAGCTGGCAATTTGCGTAAAGTTCGGGGCATAAATTTGCGCTTCTTTCAATATTTATCGATTAAATTGGTTTTTGTGTGGCCCAGCACCACTGTGCGTCCTTTGAGGATACGCTGGTTGCTGTCGAGGCTCTCAGTGGGCATGTCTTGGGGTCATTTCGATGGCATTTTCGTCGCGTTGTCGTTGTTGTGGTTGGTCTTTTATGATTTGTGTTGTTTGTACAAGAAATTACTACAAAATTTATTGAATAATTTTGTTGCCAGCTAGCAGCCCAACGGACTACAGTGGGGGTGGCAGCGGCAGCCAGCTGTTAAGCATGATAAGGCTGGAACGGAATGGAAACGAACAGAGGGAGGCGAACAAAGATTGTACCTAATAAGAAATGCCAAAGCATGCGCTTGAGTCGTAAAATGCTGCCTGAAATTTATGTGGTGCCCGCTCGCTGTATGTGTGTGTGCGAGTGTGCGAGTGTGCGAGTGTGTTGTGTGTTAGTCTTTGGCCTTGGTATGCAGCAGTGTGTCTTCGGGCTTTGGAATGGAATGAACTAAGGCAAAGTGAACTAGCTACAGCTATGTACATTTACGTATACGAAATAAGTTGGGGGATTTACTCGTATATTCCTGCCGTTTACACAGGCCCAGCTCAAGGGGATTGCGTGGCATGGGGACAGCGTATATAGAGAGTGTGTCTCAATATGTATGTGTGTGGCATGTTTACTTACCTGCAGCATCAGCGCGTGCGGCGTGTGTACAAAATATGAAACATTTCCTTTGGGGGAAGACTGCAAACAAAGTTGACCATCGGTTGCCACCGGATTGTACATGAAGACAATGGCATTCGATAGTTTGCCATCGTACAGCACCTGCAGTTGGAAAGAGACGGGAAGACCGAGAGAGAGAGAGAGAGAGAGAGAGAGTGGATTGTTGGCATTAGTTAGGCACTGCTTTCAACAAGTCATTCGTAGAGCTCTGCTCCTCTGTGGCTCTGAACCCGGCAAATTATTTCCGGTCATGCTGACAATTTACTTTTGCTTTTGGCCTTTGCTTGAAGCGAGGAGCGAACAGCACAAATAGTTCTATATATATACAAATAACTTGAAGTACTCTTACATACTACAGCTTACATATAATATACAAAATATCTATATACACACTCATATATATAGCTGCTTATATATATATATATGTGTGTATATAGCAAACGGAACACACACTCAAATTTTGCTGTTCTTACACATTAGCCGTGGCTGGTCTGCGTTGGCATTTGCCTTTTCTTTTTTTTTTTTTTTGTTTTTGTTATTTTATATTATTTTTAAACATATATAAATTTTTTACTTTATTTTCGCAGCTTTTTAGTGCAACTTTTTGTTTTGTTTTTTTTTTTTAACTGGCGCCGTCATATGAGGCGTATGCGTAATATTCTTGCAGCGGCTGCTGTAGCTTTTTAGCAGCGTGCATTTGGGTGTAGCTGCGTGTGTGAATGCTTAAATATACCTATAAGCAAACAGGTACATGTGTGTATGTGTTTGTGGGTGTGTGTGGGTGTGTGTAAGCTGTGCGTGTGAATTCGCTGGCTGCATAATTTGCTGCTAAAAATACTTCTTTGCGTTGACATACAAAAAGAAAGAGCGAACGAGAGAATGAAGGATGGCAAAGGAAACTACGGAAAAAGTAAAAGAAACGAATGCTATAAAAACATGTCGTATATATATATATATATATATATATATACATATGTATACATATTGAATATTTTTTAATTTATAAAATTCGAAGTTGAAATGAAATTTTTGTGGCTCGAATTTTTTAATTGGCAAAAAATTTTGAGAAAAATATTTGAAAGTCAATCGCAGACTTGCAATGGCTATTGGCCGCAGGAGATAATATATATATATATATATATATATATATATATATAATGATAATAATAATAAGAATAAAAAGTTTAAAAATAAAATTAAAATTATCCTGTTATAGACGGCAAACTGGTGCAAGACCTCAACTTATGCCCAACTCACAAATGGTTCATGAACAAGATTTTGAACTATAATTGGAAACTCTTAAATAGAAATGCAGGAAAATTAATAAAAAATCTTAGGGAAGTTAACTTGATTCGATTGAAGCGCAGAGTTTAAAAAATGTAAGGAAAAAGTTGAAACTTAGAATTGGAAAAAAAACTTTGAACTGAACGCCAATTAGTCCGGGGGCGAGCTTAGATATACCTGAATAGGTTGAACTATATTAAATACCCATTAAGGGTATTCCCATTAGGCTTATGCTATCTCAGTCGTTGTAACTTTTGAAATACTTTTGGGCCAAGTTATAACAATGGACTTTAGCTCTCGATGCATTCGCCCCAGCCGTTAGCCCATTTCGCGTAGAAGCTTTCTTTACAACTTGACCTATTTGGGCCAGCAACATGAAATAGTTGTCAAGACAAATGCACTCCCGGCATGAAAGCTCGCGCCATGCCATAATAAATAATAATAATAACAGTCATAATAATAATAATCATAATAATAGTAGTGAAAGTGCGAGTGCGCGAGCTAAGTCAACTGAATGGCATCGGGCAAAGAAATTGCTGAAATGCAGCGTCTAGGAATAGCTCTGCCGTTGCATAGATGCCAAACAAATGCAGCGAGGGGGCGGCGAGGCGTGGAGGTGGGAGCGTCATATTATAATGGAAAACAACAACAAAAAGATTAACAAAAACGAAATAGGAACAAAACCAAGAACAAGAAATGCGACTAGAAGAAATGCTTCCATTTTCAGTCGCAGTTTCAGTTGCAGTTGCAGTTGCAGTTGACATAGCCGGAGCCTGAGCCGTAGCCATAGCCGCAGCCATAGCCATAGCCGTAGCCATAGCCATAGCCGTAGCCGTTGCAGTAGCATTCACATTCGCATTCGTCGCTCGCTTTGTCTTTGCTCTCGCAGCAGGTGCGCTGCGAAGCATGCAACATTTATTTGAAAGCCCTGCGCCGCGCATTGTTGCCAACGCAACTCCAACGCCCACCGCGCTCTCTATGGGAACAGCCCTTAAAGGCGGCGCACTTTAAAATTCTACACAAAATTACAAACATTTTCATAATTACGATTCGCCTCGGGGCTGGGGGCAGGCCTTTTAGGGCTTGGGCTGGGGGTGGTGTTGGGGTTGCTGCTGTTTGCTTGCCACAGTTGAGAATTCAATAGAACAGCGCAAGCTGCGCTTCAATGAATGGGAACATTTTGATTGGCTTTGAAGTTTAGTTTTTAGTCCAAGAGCTGCCGAGTGTGCGATTTGGAAGCGGGGGCCGGGTCGGCTGGGGTGCGAGAGGCTGGAGGTTTGCATAAGTTGGGAGTGGGGAGTGGAGAGAGGGGGACTTGTTCGGCTTGTATTCAAAACGATTCGATGCGATTTGATGCGATTTGTTGCGATTGGCTTGCGGATTTGGCAACGCTCAACGCTGGGGACGTTGCAAACTTTTTAATTGGCGTTACAGAGGCGTAGCTTGTGGGGAATTACGAGGGGGCGGGGTCGGCGTATAGTTGCGCATGAGTTGATTTGTAGAGGCATAAGCATTTTGCTAAGCTGTCTGTCTGTGACGCAGCATTTCATATAAAACAAAAAATTTAATAAAAAATAAACAATAAAAATCAAAATAACAAAAGAAATATGAGCGAAAATATTTATGAATTAAAAATAAGCACAAAAGCTTAAAAAATAAGTATATATACAGATTAAAAAATTAAAAAAAATATGTATATAAATCTTAAAAAAGTTGTGTGTATTTTTAAAATAAGTTAATTGTAAGTAATATAATAAATACTGACTAATAAACTAAAAATAAATTAAACAAAATAAAAGTAATATGAAAAATATGTGAACAATATTTTTAAAAAATAAAATGTATTTTTAAATTAATTAATAATACAAAAATAAAAATAATTTAAAAATTAAAGAAAAAAACAATAAAATAATATAGTAAATATGTGTACATATTAATATAAATTGAAAATATATAAATAAAATGATAAATATATAAATAAAGATTTTTTATAGCTATTACAGTTATAAAAAATAAAAATATATATATTTATCAAAAAATATGTATTAAAAAAAATGTCAAAAAAATGCATAAATATGATAATTAAATTAGTTTCTAATGAAACCTTAAAAATAAATACCAAAAATGAACTTTTAAATCTCTATTAAAATGAGGAAAAAAACGTTGATAATTGAAGGAAAGAAAGAAAGAAAATGTTGCTTACAGCTTTGAGCTGGTTGATTTCCTCAGTGTCGCCGGCGTTGGCTGCGGCGGCGGCGACGCCCATGGAGCTCAGGCTGGTCAAGCTGGACATGCGACGCAGCTGGTCTGCCCCGCCCAGGTCAAGGGATAAGCGATAAGCGAAACCGATAAACGATAAACGATAAAACATAAGAATCGAAAATCGAAAGCCAACCGCAGACAAAAATCATAAATACCAAAAGAAGCATTTCCAGTGGGCAAATGGCCAAGCGGATCATCTGCACTGTGATTGTTGCTATTGTTGCTGTTGTTGTTGTTGCTGTTGTTGCTGTTGCTGCTGTTAGCTAGTTGTTGCTGGTCGGAGTGGCTGTTGCTGCCATCGTTGGGCGTGCCAGGCGTGCTTGCTGCTGCGGCGGCAACAGCTGCCGTTGCCGTTGCCGCTGCCGCTGCCGTCGCTGTTGCGGCTGCTGCTGGTGCTGCACCAGCGCCCGCCAGCGCTGCCAAAGCAACTGCATTGCGCGCAGTTAGCACTGCTCGTATTTTGACAAAGGCCGCACTCAAATCGAGCCGCTCGTCGGACCAGTCAATGGCGCTCGCTTCCTGCTCGGCGGCGAGCGTCTGGAACTGCAGCTGCAACTGCTGCTGCTGCTGTTGTTGCTGCAGCTGCTGGGCGTTGTTGCTGTTGTTGTTGCTGCTACTGCTATTGCTGTTGCTGCCACTGCTGCCGGCTGCGACGAGGGCAGCGGCATCGCTGCCAACCAGCAGCGCACCACCCAAACTGCTTGTTAGTTGAAAGTGACTCACCCGCTTGTGATTGTCCGGAAGATTCAGATAGCACTCGTTATCGAAGCGGAATTGCGACTGTTTGTTTGTTGTGTGCACGCGCGTGTGTGTGTGTGTAAGTGTGTATATGTGTGTGTGTGTGACAGACACAAAATTGGTGCAGCAAGAGAGAACGAGAGAACGAGAGAACGAGAGAGAGAGAGAGAGAGAGAGAGCGGGGACAAGTAAAAAAAGAAAATTGGAAAAAAATACATGTAATTATTGTTGTAGTACAGTTTTCTCACAATAAAAAGGACAACGGTGCGGCTGTTGCTGCAGTGCTGTGGTTCAATTGGCGGTGCAGCCACAGTGGTTACGGTGCTACAATAGAACTCAAGTGATTGCAGCGCCTGCCACTTACCTTGTAGCCCGGCCCCAGGCGGTGCATCGCACAAATCTGCTGCGTGGTCAGCGCCTCGCTGAACAAATAAATCGCCGACATTTGCCCGCAGAAGACGCGCTCCTCATCCAGCTCGGGCGTGGCGCCAATGTAGCACTTGTCAAAGGGCTACACAGAGAGTGAGAGAGAGAGAGAGAGGGAGAGCGTTTAGCGTGGCTGTGTCTCCAGTGCGCTCCTCTACTTACATCGTTTGTGGAAACAAACCAGGCCATTTCAGTTGAAGACGCCAGTTGTCCATTCACGAGGCACTTGATTTCGCTCTTTGTCCAACGATTGTATATGTACACAATGGCAATCATATACCACTAATGTCAAGAGACAGAGAGGGAGAGGGAGAGCGAGAGAGTTAGTCGAAGAATGAGTGACAGACATTGCTTTAACTTTTATTTATGTGCATCATATCAAGTTTTTCCTTGCCTTTACTTATCTAAATATGTATATAAAAAGTGTTCACACTTTACTTCATACACTTTCACAAGATCTCAAAGGAGCATATTAGCTTGTTTGGCTTGAGATTTCAGATACATATGAGTCTACCCATAGATATATATATATATACCCCATGTACCTCTAAGTATTTAAATTTTTTTTAATTATAAACTACAGTTAGACCTCTAATTAGCAGCTGCAAGCCTGGCTCATATATTTATGAAAATGCTCTCCAGCTATGGCTCGTAATTAGAATTCATGAATCTTTAATCCTGTGCAGTTTAAATATTAATTGATCTGCAGCTTGAATCTCGAAATTAATTTTCGCTTAACGCAATTTGCTCTTGCCAACTAGAGACAGGACTCTTTTGGTAGTGAGCGCAGTTGATGCGGGTCCCAAAACTAATTTCAATTGCTTCGGGCAGGTAATTAGGCCCTGCTGTTGGCCATTCGATGTGCTGTTAATTAAACTTTGGCAGACCCGAAATCACGCCCATAAATTGAAAGTAGGCAGCCAGCCAGGCAGCCAGTCAGGCATGAGGCTAGCATGTGCTGTGTGTGTGTGTGTGTGCTTGGAGCTAATGGTCGTAATTCACAGGTGTAACGATTTGTTGCTGAAAATGGGGGACAAAGCGGATGAACTGCGGCACTTACCTTGCGTGGCTGGAATTCATATTTGACACAATGCTGAAAGCCCTTGCCCTTGACTTTCATCGATGTGAGGACCAGACAGTTGCCCACGAAGTGGGCCGTGTAGCCCACGCCCTTCGATGTCTTGAAGCTGAGACAGAGAGAGAGAGAGAGAGAGAGTTATGAAGAGGCATGAAATATATATGAGAGCAATTAGTGCGTGCCACAATTAGTTGCAGAACGTGTGGGCTAGGGGCGGGGCTACTTACCAATAGAGATAGGGCTTCTCTCGCTCAATGTTCACCGAGTTAATTGGATCTAATCGAAACCAGGTGGTAAAGGTGAATCCATTTTCGTAGGGCCATTTGGCCAGCGGCGGCAGCACCATTGCCTGTGGAAGAAGAGCAAGCAGAAAATTTAGTCAAATGTGCCACAATTAGTTGCACACAGAAAGAGAGAGAGAGAGAGAGAGAGGGAGAGAGGGAGAGAGGGAGAGAGAGGGATTGAGCTAGTCTGTTAAATCTCAATTAGCAATTCGTACGTTCAAGTGAACCGCATGCTGACCGCAAGTTCCTTTCTAGCTTAAGCCCCTTTTTGTGGCATGCAACACTTGGTTGCAAGTCACAAAAGTCACAAAGTCAAGCGTGAAGCCTTGAAGTATAGAGAGTCAAATGGACCAAGCGAAGAGCCAAACCGAAACTGAACATAAATCAAACTTCTGCATATTGTATACCCTGTGCGCCAGCCACACAGCGGGTATATCGCTGTTTCCTTCAGCTACGACTAGAGCTTGAAGTGCTGTCGTGACTCATTGCATTGGCACTCATAGCTGCTGTCACTTAGAGTGTTTCGCAGTCGAAAGCAGCTGCTTTGGATGTCGTTCGATTTGAGCCATCGAACTCTTTTCTTACTCGTCTCATGCACACACACACACACACGCACACACACATTTGGTAAGGGCAACAACAACAATAAAGGCAACCGCAAAGGCAAAAGGCAGAAATGAAGTGCAAATTAAAAGGAAATGAGCACATTTTGATTTATCATGAGTTCTGTGGCTTTACGCCCGAACAGAGCACACGGATAGAGTATTCAAACACACACCCAGACACACACACACACACACACTCATACACACTCATACACCCACGCTTAGCTGCGTGTTTACTTTCATAAATTTGCCCATTTTGAATGCTCGCAATTTATGTTCTTATCATGTTTATATGACCAACTGCCACGCCCCGCATAGCAAACACAGAAAAGGGCAGCTACCTAAATGTTAGCTGCGTTCCGCCCACTCATAACAGCTCAACTAACCGCAAATTCGCATCCGTTTGGCTATCTTAATATTTTGTATTTTGCCAACATTTTTTGATCATTTGCAAATTCGAATTAAGCGAAGTTAATTGGAAAATGTTCGGAGTGAGTGAGTGAGGGGGAGGCAGAGAGTGATGTGAGTGAAGTAGGGAAAAAAAGAAGTTTACAGAATTAACCATATATATTTGAGCCTAGTCTCAAGCAATACAAAATGGCGTCCCTATGAAACTATATAAATTCTGTATCGATTCCATATAATAAATTCTATAGCACATATATTTTATTTCTCATTACTCCTGCCTCCCAGATATCGTCTAAGGCGCTGCAATCTACGCCCCTTTAAAGTCGTTCTCTTCTTGCCTTTTAGCAGATCGACTATCGATTGAATAACTCCTCAGCTGAATCTATCGATCACATCGATGCCTGCTCTTGGTGTTTAACAAGTTCTTTCGTTACAATTTCTGTCTATAAGAAAGCAGGAAGAGAGTGGAAGAAGTCTTTCGCCTTCTCAAACTGAAGTTTATTTGAAAGCAGCATTGAATGCTTGAGTACTTGCTAAGCATCCTGCTGCATTTGCATTCATAAAATTCATTTGCAATTGAGTCACACACACAGAGTGAGAGGGAAATAGCTGGAGAGCGAGAGAGAGAGAGAGAGTGAGAGAGAGAGAACTTCGCTTCATGATATTCATTCAACATTCATACGCTTTTGTATTCGTTTTCGTAGCTCGCATTCATTTGTATGCAGACGGATAGAGCTTCTTGTGGCACGGATATTGTCTTGAGGCCTCATTCGATTGTGCAACATAGTGCAACAATGGTGTGGCATGTGGCATGTGGCATGATTTAACATAGTTGCCTTTTGTCTGCCTGTTGTCCCCAACTGTCTCGCTCTCCCACTCTTGCCATCTCTTTCGCCATTCGTCCCCTGGCCGGGAGCAACTCATTAGTGCAACGAGCAGACCTAGAGGCACAGCCAGCCTCGCATCCCCTCGCATTAAACCAAAATTAAAAAAAAAGGAAAATAAAAGAAAAAGAATGAAAGATAAAGAAGGCGAAGAGGATGAGGGGCGGGCGCAGCACATGTCCATTTGCTGAGCGTTTTAGTGATTGGGAGTTGGGGCGTTGGGGCAATGGGGCGTTGGGGATCTGGTGTAACATGTCCTGCCCGTTTATTGAACATTTTGTGACAATTGCTCTGCGAGTCTCTCGTTTTGTTTCATTTCATTTCATTTCATTTCGCATCGTTTCGTATCGCATTTGACTTCCAATTCGCTTTATGGAACTTTTTATGTGCTTATCCCATAGACAGATAGCAATAGAAGTCGCCTACGGTGTGAGTGTGTGCCAGGGGTCGGGGTGTGTCAGCTGAGACAGCAGAGCAGGCACATGCCACATGGACAGCTCACATTACGAATTCGATTTAAGTGCGACGCAATAAAATAAAAGCCCAGCCCCCGCCCGCTCTATCTAGTCGAAGCCCCCGCCTCTGCCCCCATTCAAAGAAATGCCACAGGGTGTAGTTGGAGCTGAAGTGCTTCAAGTGCTTGCTAGTCATGGGAGCTGTGGTAGGGGGCTGGAATGCTTCTGCACTTAAAGCCAGCTTGCAATTCGGCCAAAACGAGAAGCCAGCGGAAGCAATGAGGGATGCTCGACTGGCGGATACTCTATATAATCTGTTTTCATGTTGAATCAAGTGTCTCCAGCTCTAGCAATTATCGGATTTTGCTTGTTACCTATATTCTCCAAATCGATATTTATCGATTTTATTAATTTTATTAAGAACGTCAGCTATCTAACATATATATGTGATGTGACTCAGCTTATAAGTTAGGGCTTAGGTATCTAGTCCTTATCGCCTCTAAGTTTGTCTCACACAACGAAGTGTCAAGATCGATATATATCGAACTTAGTGTAAAAAGAAGAAAGAAAATTGTTAATGTGAGCAATGGAAATAATGTATGTAATGAAAATATATGATTTATCGGATTAAGCTGACAATCGATACTTATCGATTTTGTAAAAAGAGATTGGAAAATGACAGTGACAGATGGGCAACTTGATAACCAGACTAGACAGACAAATCTGCCTAGAGCTACATGGCTAGACATGAAGTATACTTCGAGTCCCTCCATAGCCTTCGATTCGTTGCAGTCACACGGACAGACTGAGAGATCTATATGAAGTGGGCAGCTGCTTGAGGCAGATGCCGCTATGAAATCAATATGCCCGGCATATTTCGCTTGTAATAAGTACAGGGTATATAAATAAAACGAAAATCGATTATTGCTGTTGTTTATTATTATTAGATATGGACTTACCGATCCCTTGCGGCCGGGAAAGCTGAAGAACACATCGGGTCCGTTGCGGTGCGGCATCTGTCGCAGGACATTCAACAACTTGGCCGAGTGACGCGGCCATTTGCCATTGTTGGCCTTCATCGTGCCAAAGAGCAGCTTCAGCTCCTTGACCGTTATGCTATAGCTGGCCAATACGCCCAGCATCTCGATGAGCAGATCTGCAACAGAGCGAGAGAGAGAAAGCGTGGGTTTAGTTATTATGGCATTGTCGTGGGCGTTGTCTGGCATGTTTAATGCTTATGAAAACTGTTGTCGACAGCTCAGCGAGTGCTGCAACGTGCGCAAATATCAGGTGTAAGCGGTCTACACTGCACGAAAAAATATGCAGTTATATTTGATATTAAGGCTATTAAAGTAGGCTGAGATGAACGATTTTAAAGGCAGAGAAAAGAGTCTTACTGAAGCTGTTAGGCTGGACTTAGCTGTCAACTGTCAACTGTCAACTGTCAACTGTCGATTGTAATGTCTATGGCTAAGCTCAGCTGGCTGATACCAGAACTAGACTTTGCTTTAAACTCATTTTGAATAGTGAATAAAGTTTTCATATGTATTTCTAATCGGTTCTTAATAAGAAACACCAATTGATCATGTGATCTATCAAGCACACATCCAGAGGGAGACTAACTGATCATGTGATCCATCAGTTGATCTATCCCATGATCAGTTCGACTGTCTTCTACGCTAATTCAAGTAACAGAGCTAAAAAAGCAATAACTTCAAATGCAACTTCAGCTTCAAAGCAACCAAAAACTGTTAACAGAGTAAGCAAGATCCTAAGCCTTCTTCCGACTGCATTTGAGCTGCTGAGAAGCTAGCATAAAGAAGATGCCGTAGGCCAGGAAGCACATAAAAGCAGAAGTTTAGGCATCTTAACTGTTTTTCTGTTGTTACAGTTAGTCAAGTGAGAAGACTAGAATAGCTGGAAAGCTGAGAAGTATAGACAAGCAGTTGTTGACCTGTCGCCTGACTGACTGTCTTAGCCACGTTAGAGCAGTTAGCTCTAATCAGTTAAGCATTTGGCTAAAGTCGAAACACTTTCGGCCAGTGTCATTAGAGCAAATGCTGGGATTGGGCACATGAGAACTTGCTGCGCGTGCAGTCAGCAAATAAAATAAACGAGATAGCTGCGAGTTGAGCGCGTGCAGCGAAGCGGCAAGGACGCTCTTAAAGCTAGGCGCCGATGGCTGCATTTGGTAGGCGTGGCAGCACCTCCTCGCCGCACACATCAAGGTCAGTGCGTGAAACGAGCTGGAAATTGAATTCGAACTGTCATTGAATGCGGCATAAGACAAGCAAACAAGAGAGCGAAAAAAGGAATCGTATTGAGTGCGTGGGGCCAGCACGTGATGCCGCTTGGCTTTAAATTGCAACGCTGGCAGCGTTGCCAGACTGGCACGTTTGTGTCACCGTTCACCTTAGCCTTTGGCAGTACGGCCTCGACTCTCGTGCTATTCCCAAACTTCATTTGTAATGCACACTAATTGAAATGGGACGCACGGGCCGTTTTAATGCTTGGTCTGCTGCCTGGGCCATTACCCCAAGGAGAGCTGTGGCTGTGGCGGTGGCGGTAGCTGTGGCTGTGGCCCTGCCAGCCATTGCGACAGTCAAGCCTCTCCCACCCAGCATCCCTCTCCCTCTCCCTCTCTCTCTTACATACACTCTTTATACAGTTACACAGTTTCCAGTTGCGCCTCCGTCAACACGTTTCGGGTAGCGTAAATTAAGAAATTGAGTAACATCCATGCCTTGGGGCCCGCTACCCCCGCCAGCCTAGGCCGTCGACAGCTATCGCATGCAGTCCCAGGACGATGTTGCCCCATTGCTGCTGCTCACACTTGCCCATCATCATCTCCTGCTCCGCCTGCAGCAGCAGCAGCAGCAGCAGCACATTTAATTACACACATCTTTGGCTCACGCTCCAGGAGCAGGTCTGGAGCTTCTGCTGCTTCAGCGTCTGCTGCAATGGCTTGGAGCGCAATGACAATGCGACTAGGAATCCTTCAGCTCTTCATCTGTCTATCCGACTGTCAGTCTATCCATCTGCCTGCCTCCGGTCGCCCGTCAAAGTTTAACTGCTTTTTGCATATCTTGGCATCTTCTGCAGCTCATAAAAAGCCAAAGTGCGAGAACTTGACAGCTTTTTATGTATGCCCGACCCGTCCCAGAGCCGTCCCAGGCCCGTTCTCATGTGCGGCAGTATTTCTTTTTGTTTTTATTAAGTTCTCATCAAGAGCGATAAAAAACGAAACTTGCCGTATGAAATTTCCAGATAGTTTTAAGTAGCAAACAGATATAAAATGAACTTAAGCCAACATGTTAACCAAATTTTTTATATGCCATAACAACACGAAATGTGCAAAGGAACGATAGGAAGATCTGCAAATTAAATGAAGTCTGCAGAGACAGTAAGCACAGCTCTAGGCCTGTTCACTTTAAGACAGTAGCTGATGCTGCGAGATGGTGCATATCGACTCGAATCGATAACATGGGCATTGAATAAGTTATCGATAAACATGATCCAGAGACATGCTATGGCAGCAGTGTCTAGGCATCGTTGACTCTGATATACAGACGATTGGATCTACGGCTGCAATGTCTCGACTATCGCTGCTGATCAGGCAAATATATATACTATAACAAGCAGCAAGTACAGCAGAGCACGCGGGGTGTCTGTGAGTCGAGCATACCCCTGCTCTATTTTGTGTCTTAGAGATAGCAAAATATTTCTTAAAATTTAATTTCAATTTATTTTATCATCAAATTAGCTTTAATTGCGGCTAATGGAACTAAAAGTTTTCCTTAAAAATAAGACTCAAAGTTTCTCAAGTTACTTCGAGCTGTTAATTCAAAAAGAACAAGAGAGAGCGAGATAGAAAGACAGAGAGAGAGAGAGAGAGAGAGATAGAGACAGAGAGCGCGAAGTTTTAGCTTATATAATTTCTTGTCAAGTGTCACGTTTCGGCATTTGTCAGGTAACACGCACCCATACACACACACACACACACACACACCTTCATCACACACACATGGAATTATGGCTCAAAAGTCAGCGACTGCAAATTGACAGCAGTTACAGTTCGTTAAATGCCAGCTGTAGAGGGAGAACGAGGCGGGCTTTGAGCCCGGGGGTTGGGCAGTAGGAGAGGGGCAACGGGTGTGTGGGATATGGTGTCTGACAAGGCCTGGCCTGTCGTGCCAGAGGGTTGCCAGACCGCAGATGTGTCATTGACTTAATAAAATCAAAATCAAAGCCAAAGGCACGCACACGCTGCTGGCAGCTTAGCAGGGGGATGGGCGGCCGAGGGGCTAGGGGTTGCCGGAGGGTATTATGGAAGGAAGGGGTGGGGGATGTAAGTGTCAGTTGGCTGTTCGCTAATGAAGAGAAAATTTGCTGCGCTGCTTGTTGTTGTTGATACATTAGGGCAGGGCAAGAGTTTGGAGAGAGAGGGAGAGGGACAGGGACAGGGAGAGGGAGTGGGAGTGGGAGTGGAAGGGAGATGCTGAGATGTGGAGCATGCGAATGCTTAGCATACATGTGGTGCGGCTGTTGTGGGCATGCCCAAAAAATGGCAGCCACCGCGGGGCAAACGCAGCCAGTGCGGTCCACTGGGCGTATCACGGCCGCTGACAAGCGTGAAATTAATCGAAAAGCAATTCGGCGGCTCGGTCAAAGGGACGCGATGCGATGCGATGCGATGCGACTTCTTTATTTTTTGGACACATGCCACATGGCAGGAATCACAAAGTAGCATGCCACACAGTCCAGCTAATTCGAAGCCCAACTCAAGCTGACCAACATTGAATACAGGCAAAGATATCTGTGAGCGCACGAAGTATATAGAGCAACTGCAAGTTGAGTCTTTTTCTGCTATTCATATTCCCATACATTCATCAATTGAGCAAAGATTCTCTCTTCTTCTTCTGCTCTTCTTTTTGCTTTCTTTGCAGCTTTGCTCTTCACTTTTTGCTATCTCTCAGTCTGCCAAGCTGTCAAAGAATCAAATCGATATATGTGAACTTTAGGCTGACCAATCAGGTCTGTTGTTACTTTCGATAACTTATGTTATCGATAACTTGAAGCTGCTGAAATATTCTATTTAATTTGCCATTTATTTATGCATTTTCTTCACTCTGTCGAATGAAATTTAATGAAGCTCTAACGCAGCTCTTCAGGAAGCGTGTCGTCGTCTTGCTTACAGTGCGCAGACCTTAATGAAGCTGGTGCCTTACTACACTCTCAGACGAATAAGATCCTACATCCAGTATTCAGTTATCTCATATACAATGTAGCTTCAAAGTAAAAACAAAATCAATGCAATACGCTCAACTCATATTGTTTTCGTGCAATTCCATTTCCGATTGCTCTTATTTGGATATCGTTTGGGTTCAGCTATTTCTCTTGTGCATTTCTACTTTTTACATAACTAACGAGCTGTTGAGTTAGTGTGCTGCTTCGACTTACCTGCCACAACCGTTTCGGAGCGCTGCAAGCGCACCAGAACGTGCTCGATAAGTCCCACATCTGTGCAGGCCTGCAGATTGCGAACGCTTTTTCGCAGAATCGCTATGAAAACGCTCCAGATCTCGGCCTAAAAAAGAGAGAATGCAAGTAAGCAGATATTAGTGAGCAGTCAAAGGCAAAAGTTTACAATGCACTGATATATCAAGCACTCGGATTCCCAACTGTGAGTGCCCAAGAGGCGCAGAGCTGGCAGACAGACAAAAAAAACTTTGGCCCAAGGCAAATGTATTACGAAATCAAAGAAATGACTGCGATTGCTGACTGCTGCTGCTGCTGCTGCGCTGTTGTTGTAGTTGCCCAGTTCAATAAGCAGAGTAAAGTGACGCGCACACACACACAATCATTTATATGTATGTAGCAGCGCAACTGAGAGCAGCTCGCGCGCGCTTAGAAGTATGCAGCACTTTTTTCTCTGCGCTGCAGCGCCACTCGGTGTCTGTGTGTGTGTGTGTGTGTCTAATGTAAACAGTCATTGAAATAAAGTAAAATAATGGAAAATAATGGCAAAATAATCGCAGCTCAAAACCAAGGAGCTGCCGCTGCCGCTGCTGCTGCTGCCGGCAGCAACAGCAACTGTTTCACTGTTGCCAGCTTCAAATGCCAGAGACGGAGTCTATATGTATATGTATATATATATACAGTTCGCTGGGGAGCCGCTGAGCTGGCAAGGGACTTGGGCTGGGGGCGTGGCACTCGTTTTGCCTCGACTCTGAATGTATTATTGCCGCAATATTTGTGCGGCAGCCACTTTTGGCAGGAAGCAAAAACGTTTTGGCGGTTTTTATGATTATTGCCTCACACACACACACACGCATTCAGTAGAGATTGCACATTGGATTGGCTATTGCATACATATACATATACACACACATATATATATATATATATATATAGATATATATATATATGTATAAAATTCATATAATTTTCGTTTGGTTTCTTTTCTTATATTTCTGTTGTTGTTTATTTTCCTTTTTATTTATTTTTTCTTCTTTGTTTTTGTTTTATTTTCTGACAAATGCAGACAATGAAAATGTAAGCGTTTTGAGTGTTTATAATGAGCCAGCTGAATGCTGAATGTTGAGCGCTGAGCGCTGAGCGCCGAGCGCCCAAGTACTCGAGCACCTCGAGCACTCGTTGAGCTTGTGGTCCACGCTGCGTATGCGTGATACTTAAACCGAGACAAAAACAGTGCTGCAAAATGCTTAAAGTTGAAATGGAATTCGCCCTGTGCTAAGCTTGCAACTGCTTGCAATCCAACTGGTTCGCTGAGTGAACATAGCTGAACAGCTGGAACTAGTGTGAGCAAAGCTTTGGCTTTTGATATGACAATAGAAGAAATAATTATTTGTTTATATGTGAACTAGTTCAAAAATGAACTTAGCTGGATTAACACTTTTTATTAGGTTTATTCCTTTGCTTTTCTTGGCACTAACGAGTATTAAGAGTTACTGAAGTCTTACAAATTAAACTGGTTCATATGAACTGATTCACAATCGGCTCGAGAGCTGGAGCTAGGGAAAGAACTAAGGCATTTGATATGATATCAAGCATATAATTATATTCTTGTGAACTAGTTCCATAGTTAATCTCTTACTTAAGCTCCTAAAAGAAGTTACTGAAATATTTTACAAATTGAGCTGGTTCAAATGAACTGGTTTTCATTTAGAGTTTTTCATTTTAAAGTTGATTCGAAGTCGTATTGCGAACTAGTTCACACACACCAATTCAATCGATTATCGTTTGCTAATCGATAGTTAATCGATTGCCCAATCTGAATTTATGGCAACTTAATTGAATTCTCTCGCGGGTCACTTCTGGCCTCCAGACGTGGCTTTCGTCTTAATTTTGGATTTGTGTGAAAATCTGCGTGCGCTCGCTTTTCCCCTCTTGATTTTCTTTTTATTCATTCATTCCAGTCGGTTTTTGTTTTTGCCTTCGTCACGTTATCTGTTGCTTAGCTCGTTTTACGCATCATTTCGCTCAGCATCCGTTTGCCAGCTTCTTGTGTCTCAATTCTTATCTGCGCTGTTGTTGCTCTTGTTGTTGTTGTTGTTGTTGTTGTTGTTGTTGTTGTTGTTGTTGTTGTTGTTGTTGTTGTTGTTGTTGTTGTTGTTGTTGTTGTTGTTGTTGTTGTTGTTGTTGTTGTTGTTTTTTTTTTTTAATGTACTGCACGCATAATTTAATTCGTCGATTCATAAATTGCCAACAAAAATTCACTCACTCATGGCTCCTGGGCCACGCCCACCTACCTGCCTACATCATTATGCAGCGAACGACTCAGGCTTTGCCGCTTTACAGCTGTCGCGCCAAAGCGGCTTTTGGACTGTGCAAATACGCAATTTACATAAGCAAATGCCTCATACATATACATATGAAAGCTTAGAGTGTGTGTGTGTGTGTGTGTGGGTGTGTGTGTAGGTGTGTGTGTGTGTAAGTGGACATGCTGCGGGTAATTTGATCAGCTCTGTTAGCAATTGCGCCCGAAAAGACCTCTAAAAACTCACACACACACACACTTACACACACACACACACACATACATACACACAATGGGAATCAGAGCAGCTCACTGCTTGCCTCCAGGCAGCGCTAGAGCTCAGTCTAATGCGGCTCCCCTCAATTCGTTCAGCTGCTCGCCTTCGCTTGCCATTTCATAGTTATATTTATACCCTGTAATACGAAATTTATACCCTGCTCTTCATGGTGGCATAAGTTGCTCTCAGTCTCAATTTCCTCCATGGTAACCTTCTTGCTAGCTCCTTTGAGTTAGAAGTGTGACATCTATGAAAATCAGCTTGAATTGATTGTTCTGCCATATGAGAAATGGCAGGGTATTGCCTAGTCGAGCAGTGCTGGGCCGTTGGCATATTTAATTTTGTATTTTATCTTTGCAAAAATGTTGCTCATAGCAAAAGACAAAGTTGATTTGACGCCGTCGCGTTTTGTTTTTTACAGCATTATTTCTTAATAAGCGCCAAGCGGCCAAATCCCCCTTTGGCCCCGCCTTAGCCCCCTTGGCTACCCTCGCGCGCTGCCAGGGCGAAACGAACGAAGGAAAGCACGAAAGACAGCAGGGCAGAGCGAAGACAAAAATTAAATATAAAAGAGAAAGAAAACTTCAGTCAGATTTTATTACGTAATTGGGTAGCAATTTCTGCATGAAGCAACAATGGCAACAACAAAAACAACAACGACAACAACTAGAAGCTGAAGAATAGCAGCTACAACAACGACAACAACAGGGGCCACTGAGCACAAATTAAATTTTAGCCTTTTTTTTTGTTGTTGTGCTTGCTGCTGTTTGCTGGCTTTTTTTCTTGGTCTTGGCTTTATCTCCAGCTCTTATGTATGCCACATGCTTAGCCAGCGTGCGAGCGAGCGAGAGGGCAGTAGAGTGTGTGTGAGCGAGACGGCTGCGGCGCACTGAAGCGGCGACTGGCTATTGTTGTTGCTGTAGCTAAGGTTAAATTGAGCATCGTCCGGCCGAAAGTCGGGCCCAGATTTGACAACGAAAAATTAAAAATTAAATGCATTCCAGCGCCGAGAGTTCAGGGCCTAAGATTTGTGGCCCAACAAATTCTTGAAAATATGGCAAAAGTTTAATTGGCCCATGGAAATATTTCTCGTTTCTATCTTGTGCAACTTTTTTGTTTACCTTTCTCTGTCTCTTGCCGCTTTAAGCTTAAGTCAACTTGGTTCACGGAACTCTTCGACTCTTTGGCTGCATTGCAGAATTGCCACAATGGAGTATATTATATTTTGAATAATCGATATATATTGTTCAAAACTTCATATGTGTTTCCCAGCGAGCTCAGAGTTGATAGAACCAACTCATGGCATCAGCTAATGTAGCTAAAGCTTCACTACGTTGGGTTTTCAATACTTTCACACTGATCGATATTTGGTAAACTGTAATTAGGCATCGATTTATCGATTTATAGTCACAATTCTTATCCTTCTTTCTTTTGAATCCTTACAGCATACACTACAACTCAGAGCTCTCGTCCTTCCCATCACTTGCAAAGCATCAGCGAGTCGCCTTTGCCTGAGCATAAATACTTCCACATGATTTGCTGCCTGCAGTTTGAAATAAATTTAACGCATTTGGCTTGGCTTACTCTGCGTCTTCCCTTATCTCTCCACCTCTCTCGCTCTCTTGGCGTGCTTTCCTCTCCCTTGTTATTTTGTCGCTTATTTTCCACTTTATCAGCGATTTGATTACGCTCCCTCCGCCACCCATTTGTGCATCCCTTTTTACTGCTTTGGCGCAGTCAAATCGTTTCGTTTCAATAGAATTTCAATAAATTTATCAAGCTCCATCTGCAAGACGCGCCTCTGCCACTTATACGAAGCGGCAGCTGCAGCCATAAGAAGTTGCAAGAAGAAGTAGAAGAAGAAGCAGCAGAATATGAACAGCAACAACATTTCTGCATGCCAGCACTGTGCCTCCCCCTTTCCCTGCTTGGCCCTGCCCTTTCTCAATTTTCATCAGCCGCCGCTCAGCTCTTATTTTATGTCATCTTTTTTTAGTGCCGTGCAGCAAAGCTCCCTTTTAGCTCTCTCTCTCTCGCTCGCTCACTCTTCTGTCGTCTCTCTGTGTATCTTGTCCATGTCAATGTCTTTGGCATGCCGTGCAATGCGCTTATGCACTTCCTTCCTTCCTTTGCACCATTTGCCTGTCCTGTGCTGTGTCCCTCTCTCGCCTACTCGCTCCAACTCTCTATCTTCTAACTGTTTTTTCTCCTGCAAAATCTGCTGCAGCTCTAACGGAAATTTATTATTGACAACAGCTGCCGTTGCAATGCAAACAAGCAGCAGCAGGCGCCACACACACACACACACACTTACTGAGTCTTATACATGTGTGTGCGTGTGTAAAAAGTGGCAGCCGCGTCAGCAGTTTGCGGGTTAAGTAGCATGGCCTCTGTCTCTGGCGCTGGCAGCAGCCATTCTCCATATCCAATACTCGATCTCCGGCACCAACTGCCTGCCCCTCCCTTTGCAGTCTTCCCTACCCTGGCACGCCCAGTGGCAGGCATACGAATGCCGCAGCTAGTGAATGTC